CTATAACAACAGCACAACAACATCGGCTTGGCTAACAAGCTATCAGGAGTAGTAGACACGTTAAGAATATATACAGAAGTAGGCTTCTTACTGTATATATATATATATCAGTTTCTTACACAATGCTAAACCGCGAAACTACCGATCCCTTGTGATTCATTAAAAAAAAAAAGAAGTATCCTGACGGCAGCCTTTTGACGTAACATACGCATATAGGTATGTGCATATAATGTGGTACAGAGTTAAGGCCCGGCAGCTCTTTATGTACTTGGCATCCCAACGAGACGGGTGTGTCCGAAAGCACGAGACAGGTTGTAATTTTAAAGGCTTTTTATTGCAACCTGAAAGGGTTGTGATCTTTCAAGTAATTTTTTTTCTTCCAAAATTAGATAACGTATATACCCGAAAAAAAGTATGAGCTTGCTTGTAATTAAATATCAAACTTTTGCTGGTAAAAGATTGTTAATAGCTGCGCAAGTAACCGTACTGTAACTATAATCTCAAAGTATACCTAGCGATACAAGTTGATCGGGTTAACGCAAGCATGACTATTTAAAAGGATTACAAGAGTGAAACGTTACTTTTGTGACGCCTTGTACAGCGAGGATACCTATGTAGGGATACAGCAGGTAGGACCGGCCTTGGTCCAATGACCTCGCAACCAGAACTCAGACCGACAACCACGTTCGGCTCAAGAACCTTCGAATGGAGAACACATCATGCAAGTCAGGTTGTTGAACTGCTGTTTTTGATTCGAGGACCGGCAATTATTTCATGGCAAATTTAACACTCGCCGAATATGCCAATTTTTCACGTTACTTATCGCACGTCGAAACCTTCCCGATTCGTCACACGCAATGGATAGGAGTTTAGAAGATAAAACAGGCTCTAAGTGTCCTAATCCCATAACCCCCACCCGGTTAAAACCCCTCTGATCAAGCCATACAGCCATAACAGAGACCAAGAATAATGTTTAAACTTCACGTGAAATCTCCTTAAGCAGTAACTACTGTCTTTACATTAGCAAGCCGATCAGAAACGTTTATCAGGCCTGACAACATTCATTTTAAATACCAATAACTTCGAAGCACAGATACCAAGTATGACACATCCGGTAATGATGATTTTCAAAAAATTTTATAAAATTCCACAGCAGCTCGTCAGCTGTAATATAGAAAATTTATATTCTCATAAAAAAATGTAGACTACCCTTAATCGTTGAGGGACGTCAAGAAGAAAAAGGGGATGCTTCGATGTTCATAGGGGTCAAGTGCATTCTCAGGCAAAACGATCGGTTCGTAGCCATCGCTACCGGTCACACTGGCAAGGCGTGACGAAAAGATCAGTCGACTTTATGATGTCTCTTTCACGGAACATCGCTTGCCCCGCACTTACCCCACATTTAGCCCCATCCGCGTTACGGACGCGTGTGCAGCCATCACCATTTCCATATTCATGGGGCGCAGCCAACGTAAATTAATATACACCGAGTAACGCAGCCCACGCGCCTACCCAGAGTTCGTCACGCGACGTACCTACGTAAAGGTACATACATACCTACTTGGTGCCGCCTTTGGTATAGCCAACACAAGCAAAGCCAAGTTCGAGCTTTATTATTAGCGGCGTACACGTAACGCCTTCTCTCGCGACACTCACCGGCCCTTCTCGAACATTTTATCTATGTATCCTTTCCCCACCCTACAAGCCATTCTGCAGCCTTTAAGCCATCCTTTCGAATGATCAACGCCGAACACCTACACCGAGGGTATAAGTCCGAGCTTTGTCAAACAAATAGCCACGACCATCCACATTTCCTTGGTTAATTACGTAAATACTCTATAGTAACCAAGCCGGACTCCCAACGCGAAGATTTAATCTGACCTGAGCAGAGAAAATAATTCCATAAGCAACGTTAACGCAATTTCACGATAATACAGAGTTCCTAAAGAGATCTTGGAACAGCCCAAGATCAGTATGACGGACCGAATGAAAAATTCATCTCAACGTTTACGTTTAGTTGAAAATTTTTTTTTTAACGTAAACAGCAACCTAACGTAACCGCCTCCGTGTTCTGGTGGCAGGCGTAATTCACACTCCGGGAGTCCGTAAACGCTCGTAAAATCGCAACGATTCGTCTTCCGGCTGGTTCGCGAGATTACGATCTCCTCGCGTAATGCCTATACGTTGTCGGGGGGTTAGGCCGGGTTATCGTTGCTACATAGAAAAAGGTGTTCGGTATCCAGGGAAGTAAGTGAATAATATATCCACTGTGTGTCTTTCGTATCTACCCGAGAGACGTTGCGTTTTATCGATCTCGTTAATAGACACAGGGAAATGTCGACTGGCATTGGCGCGGAGAAAGCTACGTAAACCAAAGACAGCAATGCAGCTGCCGAGTCTCGGTGGTTTACGGGACATTACGTAAGGCACCCTCATTCTACGTCCCTGATCCCTCGAGCGCCTCGCGCCGAGCAAAAGAATTTACTTATTGGACACTCGAGTCGATTTACCGTGATGCGACGCGGTATGAATATAGGAAAAATTTTAACAAACCGATCATACGGTCATTAATCATCGATTTCATTTACGTACGGATACAGGTAAACAAATCTGTGAAAAGCAGCAACGCGGTATAGAAGTACCTAACCTAAACCGTCTGTCGACCCTAACGTATCAATTGTAAAAACTCATACGTGGCGTGTGTATGTACGTACCGACACAAAAAAAAAACGTCATAAAGCCACAATTCTCTACGTAGGTTATGTAGTTGCTTGGAAGCAATTAAATTATTTTGACCTCTTCGCTTATACTTTGTTCCGTGGAGATTTCGCGTCCGGTCGATACTGGCGCTCATTTCTCACCTGTCGGCGTAACAATGCAACGAATTATAACCACGATAATAATACGTCGATCTTCCCGAAAATTCTTACACGTGCTGAACGATCGCTTTGATGATTCTTACTTCCACGTACGGTACAGGATACGTTGTGGTACCTGTATGGCGGATACACTCGACCACTGTGGCGGATAGTACAGTACCGCGAAATGCCAACTTTCTCCTGGTATATATCGGTTTATTAGTGCAAAACGATCGACGCGACGCTACTGGCATAGGAGCAAAACGATCCTTGGTAGAAAAACGAATCTAACGAAACTCACGTGTCTGTCGTATGAAAATAAAAGAAATAACATTAGAAAAGATTATAACGTACGTGGCAGTCGTGATATCCGTTGTATAAGCAAACCCAAGAAATAGTCTACGGTCCTGTGCCACTGTGACCGGTATCAAACATTGGCCTCCATAGTAATCCGGGCTCCTCTATTCGGCATAATGATCGGTAGGCTATATGAAGCATTCGTTAACCGCGTCCCGCGCAATTAAGCAAATATGGCACGGGACGATAGAGAGCTTAATTAATTAGTCCCCTCGGTCAATTAACCGACCGGCATTAATCGTTTGTGTTGAGCGTGCATGTGGGACAGCAACCACGCAAACGAATGCCATACCAGAGCCAATGACTCCGGATGACAGCCCCTGAAAGTGCGGATAGTCGATCGGCTTTCCACTTAATCATTTCCACACAATGAACCCTCCGGACGCTACGGACAATCCGATCCGTCCGGCAGTTCGGTATGCGTCGACAGCGACAAGCAATCGCCAATCGATGACCGGCATTGTGCGATTAATTTATCGGCATCGATTCCAAGAGACAACGACCCTGACCCTTGTCGATCCTGTGCGGATTGGATCGAATCGCGTTGACACCTGTCACGATCGGTTGGCTAGACCTCAGCCTGACTCTGACGCAGCCGATACTGCAGTTCCGTACGAAACTGCATTACCGACCGAGCTCTTGTTTAAGCTCTCGCTTTCACTCTGTATATAATTGTATAAGGTTATGATGGTGTTCCGCCACGATGATCCCGAGGATGTCTGACCTATGACTGCCTGAAGGATTCCTCCACTTCTGACGGGTAGTCATGGCTGTGCACTGTGCACCAACCTATCAATCATACCGTGACATTTCCCTATATGCTGCAAGTGGGCGTGCAGCTGCGGGGTCGTCACCTCTTGAACCGTGCGAACTTGTATGCAAGTCGAAAACTATTCGATACCTTATACCGCAGTGAATGGATTGTCCATGTGGAAGTAATACGGAAGCACCGACTTGAAACTGTACACGTCTCTTATTCATGCGCCGAGTATTTCTAGGGATAAGTAAGAATACAGAGGTCAATGGGAATTATTCAACTTTCCATTATGACTGTTATATACGCGACCATACATAATTCTCGTTACTACTGTTTCTGAATAACAGAGGAAACCGCCCTGTAGTTTGCATTCCTATATTGCCCATCTTCCATACGCGGTTGGTGCTTACTTTACATACGCACGCGTATATGTAATTTTACATATCTATGTACTTGTACGATCACGGGAGCATGCAGATGTACATAAATCGCTCATACGTGACACATATGGGTTTTTACAGCCAAGTTGTCCTCGCACGTAACACACGAGGTGTTTGATGAACGCGACACACTTAACACTGAATCTGACATGGATGGCATCGCTTACGTCACGAAAGGTCAAATCAACAGTCCATACGTGGACATATATGTAATTTTTGGACGAGGACTTTGAACTATAGATTTTTTCTTGATAATCGAAAATTTTATTATTTTCTACTTAAGTCTACAAGTTTGCATACATCATTCATGGAAGGGGGTATTCAGTATTCAATAGTCAGTAAACAATTATTTATTGTGCAGTGGACATGCTGCTGATCACTAGAAAGAAGTATAGATAGAAGCATAGCCAATGAGACTGTCCTGTACTAAGGGCAAAGTTTCAAAATGCATGACCAAAGTCTAATACAGGTATAGTTTAGATACACGCCTGATATGCGCTGAGTAAAACATAAATACAGCTTAACATAGCCCCTCATACGAATGTTCATGCCAAGTAGAAAAGAAAGAGAGAAGAAATAGTCACTTACCAGAGGATCTTAATTTTTCATGTGAATAGTCCACTGGTCCAGTTCATCCTTCGGCACTCGCGATATGTTCACGCAAAGACTAAACGACCGTCGCGATTATTGTTGCACAACGCGCGTATTCGGATACCAATTAAATAATTACTTATTACGATGACGCGGTTTTTCGCGCGCGGTGAGGAATTACTGCGATGCTTACGTCATTTTGGAAGTAGAGGGCATAGGTGGGGGGATGATGTGAAATGAGTTAAAATCCCGAGACAAAAAGCTTCCTTCCTTTCCTTATGGCTGACTCCTCCAATGAGATGTGCCAGAGACAAAAAGCTTAAAGAAAAAAAAAAATGATTATACAGACAGTGAAAAATGAAGACCGGAAGAGAAGAAAAAAATCACGATCAGCCCTAGTCGAGTCGACCGCAACGAATCACTTGGCAGCAGCGACCGACCGGAAGATCCTTAACCCATCTACAATTACGGTTACAACCTATATCACTTCCCGCCCACCTGCCGAAACTACGATTAGACGTTACCAGGTGACTTTAGGTTCAGCCGATACGACTAGTGGAGTAGCACGTGCGAACGCAGACGGACGCGATCGCTCCCCTAGAGAGCGCAGTAGAGGATACTGACTCCAACCCACGTCACGCAGCCGCTCAAACCGTCTTGGCGTATTTCTTACGCAGTTGACTGTGGTACCAAAGTGTTATCGCGAAGAAGCTATAGCCCAGCGGAAGAAATGGGGAAAATAGGTAACACAACGAAAGAGAGAAAGAACAGTGAACAACATACCTTAGAAAATTAATGAGAAGAAGTGACGAATGAATCACAATAGAGAGAGGGGGAAGATAACGGAAGAGCTGAAAGACGCGACGACGTCCAAGAGTTCGATACGGGACATCGGCTCTCGGAAGACTAAACTACAACCCAACATTTACTTCCAGTCAGTACCACCCCCTCCTACTTAGGTCTTGATCGTCAAGCGCTGCCCTCCTGCGACCAATTTTTCAATTACAATTTATAAGCACGATGTCCTGCGATGTGGATGCAGGTCGACCGGTGCCTGACAATAATCCTCTAAGGTATAGGTGCGACGCTCCCTGCACCGCTCCAAAGTCTTTATTGGCGTAGATAGAGTTTGCTTATCTACCGTGCCTGTCATTTAACTGAAAATTAATCTGATACTAGGCATGTACGAAGTGCACCAGCTCAGTAGTGTAGTACGATATAGTCTGGTTATCTATACTTCTATTTGAGTGATCAACTGCAGATCCACTGCATGCTAACTAACTTTGACTCGGTGTATTTTTACACGTGTACGCGAATAACTTGATCTACTGTCACGAAGGTAAGAAGAAAAAAAATGACGTTTCCCGTTTTCTCTCTTACCGATGGAAACGAGCACTATGCTTACGCAAGGGACATACTTCTAAGATTCGCAGAACGAAGGAACAAACACGGCGATCCTTTGTCACACAAAGTATGTAATTCTCTAGCAAGCGTTTCGCACGAAGTCATCGCAATTCGTCGCGTTCATGTAAAGCGTCAAAATGCATATGGTAAAGATCACGTATCCGCTGGACTCTCTTTATATAAGCACCGTGCATGCGCGTACCTATATGCGGATTACCTATTAGCGTAACATGCGTGCGGCACGCTTGGTTGTCGTGTGGGACGGTGCAAGGACGCGTTACGAAATAAGCCTCCACCTTATATATACCAACACAGAGTAAACTTAGTCGTCGGGACGCGCCTCTGGTGCCTCTTTGCTATAAGGGACTTCTTTGCCGTGTGTGACGTCGCGACACGACACAACACAGCGGAGACGCCTCTTGCGCGACCCGAAGACCCACGCGTCTTGCGAAACACTATATCCAAGGTAGACCAGCTTGCAAGTGCGTCGCGACGTCCTTTTGTGCTCGACGCCCTCGTGTCACATGGATCCACATTTTTACGTTGGTTCTAGAATTCTTTTCTTCCGGTCCTATTTACTTATCATTTTATCGAGACTCATTGAGCTAGCCACACTTGAGTCCACTTTTAACGAGATACGTTTTTACAGATATAAAAACGGAAATGTAGATAACAGGAGCAGATGAACGCAGAAGCGAAGGAGATAGGACTAGGGGGAGGTAGGATAAGGACGTCGGGCAATGTACTTATCCAGATTGATCGTCGCAAACATGTGGGTGGGATTTGCCTAAGGGTAGAATTGCATGAGATACGTGTGTACACACATGGGTTCGTATAAGACCCGATCTATGAACCCGCGGCGTATCGGAAGGTACGAAGTGGCGCATGAGTAAGATTGATTCCCTTCATTAAGGCTTGGAGATAATTAAACGCGCATCATAATCGAAAAATAAACAGCGCGAACGTCGCAAGCGGAACGGACGGTGCTAATAAGAATAAGAAGGCCCCCGCGATGTTTGCGCACTGTACCTGTACCGGTGGTCCCCCGGTAAGACTTCTTGATGTCCGTGTGCGCACATTAAAAAGACGTTATACGTAAACGCCATGGTGAACCTCGTCGAAACTAGAGAGCTGTTTATAGGAGCTGCTTTAAGGTTAGTTAGGGCGGCTTTCAAAGGGCCGGTCGACTGGCTCATCCCGGCGCGAAAGAACTACATAGAAAGGAGGCTCGAGGCAAGAAGGAAATTGCGTGTTTCGATGCTCGACTCTCTTTCTACGTTGCTACGCGTCCCTTTCCAGCTGAACTCTTGCGCCTGGCAATCGTCATCGTCATTGTCGACTTCGTCTTCGTCGTCGTCATCATCATCATCATCGTCATCATCATCATCAACGCTATCGTCACTATTAGCTTTATCATTATTTTACCTGCTGGACCTCCCACCTACTGTGGCAATGGCTGACCACTTCGACATTCTTTTTACTCCTCGTCGTTCTGCTGCCGCCGTGCGACCGACCACCGGCCGACCCACCGCGGCTCGCCGCTTTTTTGTCGCGAACTTGCGGACTCGCCCGCCGGCGCGTATATACCACTCGCACAGTTTACGAATTAGCAGGACGAATTGTACCACCGGTCGCTTCGGGCGAACGTGCCGTCGCTTGATTTTCGACGATCGCGGAACAAGCGGCACGAAAATTAAGGGATACATTCTATATAAATAGTATAACTATATATGTATCTTCTGCATTCATGCTTTACCTCAGTACTTGCGTACGTTTATACTCTTGTTAAATGCGAATTTCCTGCAAAATAAATAATACTTGAGCATGCAAGGTTGTTCCGTAATCAGTATGTTTAACCATGCATTTATGCAGTACTTGTAAGATGAGTCTACGTACACAATATACGTACCGGGGGAAATATCGTGGAATGCTAAGTAACGCATTGGGATTATGATTTAGTTTTTATTTTAAATATCTTATTTTTAATAGCTTTCGATCCCATTGCACGATTGCATCGAAGGAACGTCACGCGAACTGGTTACACTTATTATATCCATTACGTTTCCGTGAACCACAATTACACACGTGTCAATATACTGGCGTTACGGGTGTCTCGAGCTGTAAAAATGAAATCTTTTATCTGAAGTTCATCGAAAATTCCTACATGAATCGGTATGCACCTACTCTCTGTGTGTATACTGCATATACAATACAGAAACTAGAAATACTCAGGGTATAAGGCAGAAGGTAGTCTTCTAGGGAGTTCTCGAGGAAGGCGTGGAAGTGCGCGAGAGGCTTGCGGATGCAATTTAATTTCCCCTTCGTCGATATATCGGCAGCCGAAGCGGTAACGAAAGCGAAAAGAAATCGTTAATTACACTCATCACCGATCGCCCCTTAGATACGGACGGTTTACTTCGGAATTTCCAGAGATCGAACGTTCGCGATTACGGAAATTTTTACTGATCGGTTCGAAGAGCTTCAACTGCTTTGCGATCCGCGCTTTGATCGTAGACACGAACCGGTAGCATTTTGCCCAAGACGATCTATCTATGTATACCCTACAATGCGTATATACGCATGCGTGAATCTGTGACGGATCGGCTTACAGCCTTGCCACGCCCACTCAGTGGATCATAGTGAAAAGGTACTTCGTGAAAAGAAAAATGTTAAATCGATAAAACAACAGAGAGTGTACGTATAGCGGTGATAGATAAAAAGATTAAGAAAAAAAAGATCGATAACACGGTAACCGATCCCCTTTCCGGCACAGACGATTTACCGCAGAATTCTCAGAGATCGAGTTCGCCGATACAGGAGCCTCCACGAGGTGACAAGATGACCTTCGATCTTAATAAAAACAACAAATTGCGAAACCGATCACTGGATGTATCTCGCAAGCGTAATCTTACCTGCCGATACTCAATGGCGGATCGGTCACTCGGTCGGAGAAAAAAGAGACGAAAAACAAAAGCGTATAAAGAAAGCCACGCAACGGTATCCTACCGGTATGACTTTCACCGTTCGCACGTTTACGTAATCACTGTTCGGTGAGAAAAGATCGAGTCACTTACTTCCTGGATGAAAATTCCAAATAAATTCAAAGGACGTTCAAGATTGCCACAGTGCATCTCATAACCTACAAATCCCATGTATCCGTTAGTATAACCTACAGCGTTACCTACCGTGCATTCTACCATAGTACGATGTTCACCAGGCAATTTCGAGTGGATAGAACCATAGTGGCAACATGCAAGGCAAGATAGAAAATAGCGTTCGAAGCGGCTCGGATAATAATTTCGCGGCCGGCAAAGGCCGGACAAAGTGTACACGGTGGCCGTGTAAAAAAAAGGCGTCACGTTTCGCGTTTTCTTCGCCGTCGGGAGGAAACGACGCGGAACGAGAAGGCGAGGGAGAAGGGTATAGGTAGCACCATTCCCTTCCCAGAAGCAGGGAGGAAGGGCCCTCTTAGCCAGTGTTCGCTCTGTTCGCTGTGTTCACTCCGGCAGGAGTGTTAGCAGTGCTACGTAGCAGTGTTCGTTGCGGTCGCACCAAGAAGAGAGCTGGCGCGACACGACTGCTCCAAGATCTCCTCGTCCGTCCTTATTCAACCTTATCCCTTGGATGTGCGGCGAACCGATGAACGACCTTCACTTAGCCTACACTTCACGTAGCAAAAAGGAGAGCAGGATGACTCTCGAAACATCAGAGGACTTGGCTCCCGCCGCTACTGATATCAGCCTCCTATACCAATCCGCCCCGTAGCAAAATTGCAATGGATTCGTGAGGACGATATAGTTATATACATTACATAAAAAGATCGGATCGAGGTATACTGATTAAATTAACGAAGAAAATGAATATAGCTTTTTCCCCTTAAAATTATGACACTTATAAATTACACGAGTTTTATATACATGTTGGATCGTGATTACATGATGATGCGGCGCAAACCTAGCAGGGTCAAAGGCCTCCATTAGCTGCCACACCCTGTACATAAAAACGGGCCTTGTTCCGACTGGCATGCGAAATCTGGCTATTGTCAGTGGCAAGTGCGCGTGTCCCATATTCGATAATTGGTATTACCCATACGATGAGCCGAATCATGTCTACAAATGCTTGATGCCTGCTTCTGTTTCTTTTTTCTTTATTTTATTAACCTTAACCCATAGAATAATATCGAATACACGTTCTACATCTAAATACACAACAGTCGCATTCCATAAAGCGTGCACTTAGCGAAATCAAAATACGAACAGAATGGCCGTCCAAAATACCACCTGGATATTCAACTAACACAAAGTCATCTGAACTCTAAGATTGAACGTTTCGACGAATGAAAGGAACACGCTTCTCCATCTTGGTCAATCGTGACGTCGACCTTATGGAATGAAGCGGAGGTAGAGAAAGAGAGAGAGGAAGACAGATATATGCGAAAGTGTACAAGAAAACGAAAGATGCCGAATGAACTAAAAAGTTAACTCAGCGAAAGACTGTATGGAGCCGTGGAGTGCGTTAAAAGAGTAATAGAACGAAAAGACAGGAGGGAGAGGAGAGTGTGGCAGGGTCAAGAATCGAAAGTGGATTTCCGCGCGTGCAGTTACGGCGGGGAGGGTCTATAAGCGTGCTCGGGTTGCACGTGCATGTGCACGCGATGTGCAGGATCTGTCTATCGTTACCCCCGATCATCCGTGAGTAAAAATCAGTCTTAGAAATCGATCCGTGTTCCGGGGTTAATGCACTTATTGCCTGACCAGATATCTATTCGTGAGCCAAAAAGTCGAGAGATTGTCAGGATTCTTATTGCGCATGCGCAGAACGAGTTTTGGCGTATCCTCATAAAATATGACAGTTTACGTACATCTTATACGAAAAAAGAGTCTTATCCGATCCCCTCCAAGTTTATACGCATCTCTGAAACAATTATAGCGCTCTTTGAAAACTGTCACACAGATATACACTCTCGTTCGATTATATCGCGTCTAAATGGTCGATAGCACTCAGGCAATAAGAAGTCATTGCAATTAGCATCCTATCGCACACAGTCCAGGAGTATCGCTACCACGCGACAATATATTAGTATAGCTTCGCGTCAATGAGGATTCCCGCACAATATCACACACCGAGTGAACCTTAATGAAGCTCGTCGGGACGTCCGATTAGCCGTAAATAAATTTTACAGAATATGTTTTATAGCAGGAGAATTACGAGGTGATACAGAGACGGTAGTCCGTGTAGTGTGGATTTGTACAGAAAGGTCCGCAAGAGGTCTCTAGTGTGCAGGTAGTTAACAAGCATAGGAAGTACAGTGTTGACTGAATCGTCAGCGACAGATCAAAAGCAACGAGGATAATAGTAATTTTCACGAGGCACACTCGTATGCTGAGAATATTCTTAGTGTGCGCTGTATGAGTTTTGAACGAAATAATATGAGGGTCTGGCACGGGAGAATGACGTGGGAAGAGAGAGACGGAGAATTCGGACAAACGCAAGATAGAACGGTACCGCGGGAATTAAAAGTGGCGCATATTTACACTGGGTCGACGTACGAACAAAGACGCGGCAGCAAATTCCCGGAGGAGCATAAAATGGCGAGGCAACCGAGCGCCATGGGAATCGCCGCTAATAGCCGCTTAAACGTAAAGTTGTAAAGCGACGTGGGCTGCTACCTTGGTTGCCTGACCTAGCCTAGACTCGAGCCAGGCCTAGGCTAAAGGAGGGCCGAACCATAAAATTTCCTGAGGAACGCGACGAAACAAAAGACTTTGCGGCGGATGTACACAATACCTTCACCTACACTAGGGACCTCTACTTTTCTATTCCTTTTTACTCCTTTCTCTCTTTCTCTCCATCCAGTTTTCTCCCTTGCACACTCTCATCTCGCGTATCTACACTTGGCTGAAGCTGGTGCGCCCGCCGAGCCACGTAAATATTTAGGTACTAACGCGTGCATGGTAACCTGTTAGCCTTTTCTACATATTAAGCATGTACTACCTGTAAGTAGGTAGATACGCTAATGGCCAGACTGGCTGGTATCTACCTTGGTAATTTTCCTGTGGATCCATCTTATGTAGAACCCGATCCTTATTCAAGGATGCTAAGAAATTTAAACGTCCTTCTGTTATACCGGTCGAAGTGAATTAGAGGGTTGGTCGGGACGCAGTCGGCTGAGCTGAAACGAACCCAAGGAAATTCTTCCAGCAGTGATTTTACGATGCCTCCAGGCCCCGGCACCTTTACCACCGTGGATGATGGCACCCTGAAATCTCTCGATTTCGAAATTGAAGGTGATAATGGAAAACTTTACAACCCTCTAAATTTTAAATATTACCCAAATTCTGTGCCTTTGAGTCATATTGAATTATCTACTTGATCCAATATTCACTGCTATATATATATATTTATATATAGATTGGTATATAAATGAATTGTATCTCTACTATCTGTATCCCCTATACGAACTCAAGCTCATCCACTTCCTCTCATATATGGCTAGATCTCTTTCGCATCCTTCTGTGGATCGCCCACGCCTTATTGCCTACGCAATTTTATTCCTATGCCATTTTTCTCAACTCCGTGAACAGGTTCCATTGCGAGTGGCATTACTTCGATGATCTACGGAATGTCCGCTCTCGCGGGTACACAGCAATTCTCCTTTGTCTTTGATACAGATGTTAATTATTTCGTCAACCACTATTATACCGATACATTGTCAAGCTACGTGGTCCACTAAATAATGGTCGCCGATTAGACGAATATTTATCTGCTTTTTCTTCGACTTTAGCATGATTATCCAGTTTCATAGTGACACAATGACTAACAATTAGGTACAATAACATCGAGAATGACGTTTCAAATAATACCATAGAGTTTGTTCAGTCAAGCAGGATAAAATGATTCTTTTACTCCATTTTCTACTCTCATCCGTTTTTTATGTCCGAACGACCGCGATTTCTCTACTTGCCTTTTGCCATTGTAAGGGACATGAATTATTTGCATTTATTTGAATTCGATAACAAGAAAAAATATCACACCGACCCAGAAAACATCGATTCTTACTGATTCGCAATAATTTTATTTGTCGCGTCAATTAATATCAATAAATATACCATTTACGACACGTATGTCAAATATTACCTGAAACCAATGACAACAAATCTGTTACCAAGACTCGAACCGAGAGCATCAAATTGTCCTGGCGCCAGAGGTATCATCCGTTTTTAAGGTTGAGGTCGCTTACGTAAGTGTCTCTCAGGTGCCTATTTACCCGACGCGTTAACGCGGTTACGCTAAACGTGCCGCAAACGTGTCACCGGGTTACTTAAAACGACCTGGTGAAACTGCGCAACGATTACATTAAAGAGAGTGCCTGGCAACGCTTCCCCTGTGCTATGAAAATGACGAGTTAGCGTAGCGGCTTAATTGCCCGGTGGTATTTCATAAGGACCGAAGAAGGCACCGAGTTGGAAGGACGAAGAATTAAAACAGCGAAATCGTGACTGTATCATTACGACCCGCGATCTCATCTCTGAAGATTTTTAACGCCGTCTAGCCACTGCCTATAATACAGGTATGCCATATATACATAAGTATATAATAGATCCATGTTAAAATATAGAGCGAGTTATATTCATCTCGTCATGTCTATTTACGGATGAGTTCTTCGAAACGCTGTTATCTGGATGGAGGATCAAGTGACAAATTGCCGGTGAGCTAGGAACACTTCATAGGATCACGATGTATTTGAAATTCGTGCGTGACTTGCGCACGTATACTATAGTGCGAGGTACCATTTCCAACTATTGGTCTGTTGACTCCGAGCTACCTACACGTGACGGTTACACGTATAGAGATACCACTGACGTCATGCCCCAGGAGAGAGTAAAAGTTAATGTCAGACTAACAATGAGCCAGCTCAACTCTCGAGTAGCTGAATAGCGGAGAGTTGTCAGTTACTTGTCGATATCTTAAGAGACAACGTCAATACGATGAACAACAATAACAACAACAAGAATCGTATAGCGTCCCACATGTAATACACGGTGCACCCACTGGCGTGAACATAACGTAGGACCATCTGGTCTTGGTCAGCAATGTCACATGGTTAACTATGCACCCTACGTGCAGGTCGCACCTACACGTGACTTCTAGGATAAAATAAAGGCTGACAATAAATTGTCAATACTACATGGTTGGGTACTTGTGGTATATAATAGTTAGGTGTCTGAGTTCAAAGAGTACCAATTGACTATGGGTACTATACGCGTTGTTTAGTATATGGATGAAATTTAAGATTTTTATTTATAGAGATAGGGATAAAATATTGATATTTTTATAATGCACGCTCCTACCTGATTCAGTGTGTGTAACGGATGCTCCTCTCGGTCATCAAGAGATACAGTACAGCATCAACCACTTCACACTTCCTCACAGACACTTCGCGAAGGTCCTTCGCTTCCCGATAAATTCCCACTGTCACTGGAGCGTTGGCTTCGAGTAAATACACTCTTGGATCCTGATCGATCCTCTGAATGTGTCAGGGATCTCTCCTGGTACAAGGAACGACCAATGGAGTCCTGACTTCTTCGCTGCTATCAGTCTTCATTTACTAGGACATCCAGAAGGACCAGCAAACCCTTCGAGGAATCAAGGTGATCACGTCGTCTTCTGCTACGAGTCACTGACCATCTGGACAAGGTGGAATAGAGATCTGATCTGGAGTTCTATAAGGATTCTTTGATTTTAAAAGAAATCATAGAGTTTTGTTTTTTCTGTCATTTATAATGTCCTCTCAATGGTACTGATGAATCATAGTCAAGATCTTCATTGTTTCTTATCTTTTACTTGTCGATTATCTTTCTCGGGCTTCTTCGTTGTGATAATTTTCTAATTTTTTATGTCGCCTTATTTTCTTTTGCGCGACAACTTTATGCCAAGTGGCGAGCACAGAATCTCGCGATGGCACGGGCCTATGGTCTCGGGAGTACTGACAGCGGTCTCCGCTCACCGGAGTAAGGTACACCTTACTACCACTACGCTGGTATTACTCTTTACCACCACCATCACCACATTCTACTACCTCCGGATCCTCTCTCGATCCTCTTTTCCATGATGCGCTCTGCTATCTTCCAGCCTCTCTGCCGCCACCAGAATCCCTGCCAATTCACCTTCGTTTTTCCTCTGATTGCTTCTTCCATCTCGCCACCTTCCTCGTGCCTCTTATTCTGCACGCTCCTCTTCATCTTTATCTTCTGTACCTTCGTCCCATTCTCTTAGTATTTTTTTCACGTGCGAAAGGCTAAGCACAGCCACGCATCTTCCACGCAGCTGGAACTTTAAGTACTAGGGATGCCAGTGTATTTCTGAATCTTGTCAGTCATGCTGCATCCCTTAAATTAACCTTCGACCCTTATTTATTGGCATTTACTGAGAATGGCTTGCGTGCTGAGTTTTAGGAAAGCTGGCTCCAGGGGATGATTGTATTTAGTTAATTAATAACAAATTCATGTGTCGTCTGCTTAGTCAACTGCCTGAAAGATTTTTAAAAAATTTTAATATCTTTACGTATAAACAAATAGACTTAAATAAAACCTCCTAAACATCTTACCGCGTTTAGAGGTATATTATTCCTGTAGCAATCTTTCAAAAATCCTCTCAGTGCAAGGAACGAAGAATGATCGGCAAGCCATGCCGAGGCGCCGATTGTTCCAGGCGATTTGAAATAACGATACCAAAAGGGATTAAGGAGTTCGTGTACATCAACTTCTAATCTCGATTCAGCAAAACGATGCTCCGTACACGTTCCGGTCCATTCCATCGAATCCCATCAGAGAGGCAGCTAATAGTAAAGTCCAATCCCTGTGCAGAAAATAATTCCTTAAGCAGTCTTTGAATTTTACTCATGCACACAAGCGGCGAGTGTGCGCTTAGAAGTGGCAAGGAACATACTCACGACAGGAAGTCATATAGAAATCCCATGGAAATTCCCAGTTTCCGCAGTGACTACTTGGGAGGCAGCGATCCTCTCCAGTTGAATTAACTTAACCTAACGCCTTGTTGCCATATATCTCCAGGGTGGTAATAAAGTAATAAAACAATGACGGTGATTTACGTGGTCCTATGGCAAATGGGCTTACCTAGATTTTTAACCTGGCTCGCGCTCGCGCGCTCAACTCACACGGCCGTTCCTATGTCAGAACAGGAAAGGTGCGATTTATTAGTCTCTTGTGCGACACGTACGCAGATGCGATGAGACCAGATGCTGCGGATTATTTATATAGTTTATAATACGCGCGACCTACCGCTCGCGATGGCTACGAGTAACTGCCTGTCCCATCGAATTACACGTGCTATACTACTACATATACTGTTTCCGAACGGTGCATACAGTGAGATCCAATGCATATTTCAGACTGACGCGAAAATGAAATAAAGATAAATAAAGATTAATAACCATAAGTGAAATTGACTATATGTATGATTATCCAGTACCTATTAATTAATTGTAATTACTCCATGAGTATCTTCAATTTTTTATTAATTATCCCTGTCATAGATTCTTCTGGTTCAATGACGTGAACTGTTCGTATCCCTTGCTACCTACAGCAGACCCCTTAAGATTTTTCGATGAGTATGCTACGCGAACGTAGATCACATTTGTCACGGCCACATACTATCTCCAGATGCTACCAGCAGAGTCTTCGACGACGGCAACGCGATTACAGCTCGGACGATCATACAGGACAATTTTAAATTCATATACCTGCCGACCCTGCACCTCGGGCGCTTCCTTTGTCCCTAAAGTGGTTTCGCGCTGGTGTCTACATGATTTTCGCATTCGCGACACACGCCAGACCTACATCTAAGATCGATCATACAGGAACAGTGAGGGATATGAATTTCTAAAAATAAACCTTTGAATTTCTACCGACAATTCCTCTCCTAAGATCACTTAGCAATTCACTAATTATCTATGTACTGAGTATGTAAGTATAGAGGCTAATATGTAAAAAGATATACTAAGCACGCAGGTAGTCTTATCGATCCCTCGAACGGTGAATAAGACTGTACAGTAAGTATATCATAATTTCTATACTACGTAAGGCTCGTCCGCATTTGACTGTATGTACGCGTGTACGCGTAGCGTGATATCATGACATCGTGATGCAGATGTTAAGCCTACGAGAGCATAGGTTGGTAGCAGGAAGACATGCTGGTACCCGCTCACATACTATAGCTCTTATATGTTATTAATAATATACGATATTGAAATACCCGTATAGGATAGGATTGGCAGGAGCTCTACTGCGTAGTCGATGCTTCTGCGTAGGCTAGAAGGCCTGTGTAAACCTATCCCCGTGATGCTGCGTGTCGCCCGGACGTTACCGCCTTTCCTTGCCTTTCATACGATTTGCCTGACGACGTGGTTACTCTCGCGTGTACAGTGTGTATATTGCTAATTTATCGTAAGGACATGTATACCACGGCTTGGGTTCTTTAATGAAATCGCGTGATTTCTGCGATGACAGCCATACTAGCCGTTTGCACGCGCATCTGTCATAACGATTAGCCCTGCGGGATGCTGTCCGACGCATTATCAAGAACGGTAGCTCTATCAAGGTCCCACGGGACACAATTAAGCCTTCTTAGTATGTTTAATACAAAGCGGTAGACAGTCTATAGATATGGGATCTCGTATCGCAAAGTACATAGATATGGGTACCCTATTAACTATTTAATATATTCCAGTAGAAAAATGTATCGTAAGAGTAGGTGGGGACGTGACATAACTGTAGCAGCCTACCGACGACCTCATGTTGCCCGAGGGCTTGTGCTACCTCATATGGGAGGTCTTCATATTTATGCTGATAGGTCCTACTTACATGCCTCCTCACAAAACATTACGACCTCCAACTAGACACGGCTAATAATTTTACCCAAGTTCCCTCTCTATATCAGCCCGCGAATCTCCTTTATCCTGGTTGCATTTTCGTATGCATTTACAACGGCGACACGATGGCGATAACGATAATTTCTCGACCTTCGTGAATCTTCGTCTCGTGTCACATCTACCTACACTACCTCCATCTTTTCATCGACCCCTTCCATGGCGTCTCTCATTACAAGTACCGATATACCTGCGTAGATACGGTACACTGGGTACACTCAAGAACAAAGTTGGCCATCCAGCAACTGCAGTCAGACTATCTACGGCTAGTGCGAGCTATTGGCGGAATTGCAAATTCAAACAAGCCCGCCTGTCGACCCACGCTACTGCGAGTTAGCGAGAGACTTGATTGACGCGGTATTAAAAGTTCCTTAACCTCTGCTACGTATCATGTCGTGAGCGTACTTAACGGAGACTCGATGATTGTCAGCGGCCACACAGGGTGCGCAATGTTGAAGGATGATGAAGAAGGTGAGAGTCGAGAAAGGGGAATGGCGAGTGGAAGCCAGCCGCCATTATTAACATCATCTTCGAGAGCTTCTTCAGTCCACGCGTCCTCGTTCTTCCAGACTGAAGTTGCTGATCGACCTCGGTGTATCGCTGGCTTGGTCTCTCGATCTCTACGTTCTATAAGTATCTGACTTACCGACCTACGTATCTAGGTACCTACTGTATTATATACTGTACTTCTATTATGAGAGGGCGTGACTGACCCTCTGGCTTCGTACACATTCGTGCTACGTAAATGTCAACTGCCTTGGGACATGTTGCTACCGCTACGGATATTAGAATAACAAAAGATCCTTGTTAATTCGATTTGACTGATACAGCATCCTTCTGTCGTCTCTGTATCTCATTGGATATTCAGTTAACTCGTTACTGCAGGAGCCATCTTAATTTTTAGCGATCTCACTCTACCGTGTGATTGGGAAGATCTGCGAGGTCTCGGATCCGATCCTTTTGTTCGGATGCCTCGCTGCGGCTTGTGATGCTGTAAGATTACAATGTTGATGTTAAAAATACAATGGCTTTTTAATTCGTAACACTTGGCTACTAAAATAAAGTTGTCTTCGGTCACTCACCTCATTTCAAGGAAATGGCTGACATTCAAGATTGCTGAAGGTACTAGGCGCATTCCTAGGGTTAGACAGCTTTGCGACTAGATATATCGTCTATGAATTATAGGTACAACGTGGGCTCGTAAAACGGGCGTGTTTGAAGATTTTATCCAAGCATTGAAGCGACTGATGGTCATCAAGAGGATATCAGCACGTTGCCCGTGATTGGACGATAGCGAAACTCCCTGCGGAAATTTGAATGAGCTATGAAACATGAGGTCGTTGTATTGGCCTATTGGTTCGATGATAGAGTCAAATTTCACTGTCGTTTCTATGCGTACACTCATAATACAAATTTGGTCGACTGACGCACGTTGCAGCGATTATAAATTCGTAAGAGTATCGGACACTGGCATCCATGAATAATGAATACTACCGTACACCCCGTAACAGCTGGTACTAAGGTCAAGGTCAAAATTAATAGGACAGACTGTTATATACATCGGAATCATGTATCTCGAGTTCGAGATTTCCAGAAATATGAATTTCAAATTGCAAAACGCAAATCAAGAATGCCTGTATTAATTGAAATGCTTTATGGTATAAGATAATATCGTACACAGTATTCGTCACGACGGAACTTTCTATAAGCAGTGACGTCCGACCCAGAATGCAATGGAGTTTAAAAAATTTCTGAATAATTTTTAATATTTAAAAACACATCGATACTGTTCCATATATGTATATTTTTTCTTTTACTCACCTCAACGCGTTTGGTCCAGCCGGTCCTACGGAGACGTTAAAACCATTTCGAACGTCGCGTGCACGATCGTTAACTGAAACAGGGTAAAGTAGATTTCATTTAAAATAACTCGAGAAGCCGACAGCAGGTATGTAATTTTCGTTCGCACTGTGGAGGCTGCTTTAATCGCGGTCAGCGAAATGAACGTTTAATGGAATCCTCGATGGTTTTACAAGGCACCACAGCATTAAGCCACCCTTCTTTTCGAGTTTAGTATCATTGGCGGCAAATTAAAACCGACCTCAAAGTGGCCGAACGAAATTGAAAGTTGGAGAATTGTGCTTGCATGCATCCAGCCGTAGGATCAGCTCTCACGCAAACCAATTCTAATTGAGTCAATTAAATTAATCACTAACACGCTAAACGTTCTTTCGATCCCAGTTAACACCCATATCCTATCTCGAATTCTACCAGATACCAAACCTAACCTCACTATTTGACCCACCGCTTGAACTTCCCTCGGTCAGTGATGCCAATGCAAAAATTATATCTTTTAATGGAAGTCCATCCAGCATCTGCCACGATTGGAGTCTACCAATGCATCCCGTATCCTATCAGCGTTGCATACCGAGATCATTCTCACATGATTTATCACTTATTATACCTAGAAATTATTCGATTCATAACTGCATAACAGCCCGTACCATCGCATTCACCTATCCCGTTTAAACCATATACCCAGTACGTGCCATAAGGAAGTAAATAATTAAAAAGAACGTATTCGCATATAAGCCAGCGCTAGACACCTTTCGACCATCTGCTTTGAATTCTCTCCGATATTTTCGGGCAATTAAAAAAAAATCATCTTGACTTGATAATATTCCTCTTATCGTACCTTGGTATATATAATAATTCAAAAACAACTCTCTCGCTAAATCCTGTCCCATCTGGCTCTCCGGCTACCTAACTACCTACTGTCTACCTTCTTACCGGTTATGTACATACGTAGGTACCTGCCTTGGCCAACCTCCACGGCAAATTCTATTATAATATGTAATAGGCGCACGCGCACTCTACGATCTAGAGCCACTCCATAGATCACCAGCAGAGCGGGTAACAAAGCTATCCTCTCGGCAGGATCAGATCTGCCGGTAGCAGCCAGTCAAGCTGGCTTTCGAGTTTCTCGAGACGTCTATCTTTCCGTGTGGTGACCTCGAATGCTTCCAGGGATCCTCCTGAACTCGACCCACGCGACTACCGTCTCGTCATTGACTTTTTTCAAGGACTATGTGTGGGCCTGTCCGCTCGCCGTTAACATGGGATTACTACATGCTCAACTACAAAATTGTACCGATGCTTTATTATTGCACGGTTCATCTTTGGCTATCGCACTGATTTCTTGTTTGGTTCCTTGTTCCTTTCTCGGATACTAGACATATAGCTAATTGACAAGTTCGATTAGAACTGTCTCAATTAATTTGTATCGCTTGACTTGGAAATTATTTCCTACCATCGTACACACTCTTAAATATAGAGACTTTACCTTGTAACATTATCATATGGCACTTAATCATTTCTTAATTTCATTGCACGTTGCGTCTTATTGCTGTAGATAGATGTCAAGATTATTATTATTATTGAATATTAGCTTAATCACATTTCTAAGCTGTGATACCTTCGGACAGATTTTGTATGAAATTGAAATTACTATTTCGCATAAAATAGTACTAGTACACGTCACTGATTATTACCATGTAGGTATGTTACACTTTTTTCAAAAACCAGTCAGATATTCATGGCGGTTCGTCTTGGCCATGCAAATGACTATAATGCAAATGAGATTAATATCGTGAGAGTCAATGCATAGGTAATTGAATTAAAGTGACATTACTCGGTTGCATGTCCCATCATAGAAACCGAATACATTGATATCGAAGTGAAAATGTATGAGGGTGCACGGATGATTCTCATAAAGTCAGTAAGGTATAGACGTTCTCGATTTTAATGACGATAAGACATTGCCATTAATGAACACATGTACGATCCGCCCCGCCCACGTGCTGCGTTACCGTAGCATTACTATATGTGTCCGGAGTTAGTTAGTAGCGGCGTACTGCTCACTCGATCTCGCCTAATCTACATAAATAGTCATAAAATCAACGGCCAGGTAAAGTGGTCGTGATTAAAGTAAAGGTGCATCTACGATTAAATCGTGACCCCCCTTCCTCCTAATTTTTAAGTAAATTTTCAACCGGTTGGTATCACCAGCTGTCACTGCTTTAATGTACAAGCCAAGTATAAATCATAGACAAATGCATATACGTATTTGATAAATCCTCAAAGACACCTTCGTATTATCTGATAACCTCTCTTAATCAGAAATTTAATGCGACTGGTAATTATTAATTGATTATAAAATGATTCGTTATTTTACCAGTCATTGTTTTGACAATGTACCATAAGGTCTGATACACACGACTATATTACTGCTGAGTGACGTGACGCTTTGAATGTATATCCATTACAGCGTATAGACGGTGGATTATTTATTGACATAATTCGAATGAGAAATGCTGGAGCAATAGAGGAAGAAATTAAATGAGAGAAAATAAAGGAGGGACGCTGTACAGCTGGATCGATGCTTCACAAAGGTATCTATGGTGTCCAAATGGAAACCGAAGGTACGATGGTAGGAATGAAAATGATGCTACAGGATTGGTCGGTGTGATGAAATCACCTCGGGTATTAATCTGTATACTGAATTGGACGTGAATCCGTTGCTGAGATGAACTGTTAGCTTTGATATCTCCTTTCCTGCTACGATGAACTCTCTTCCTCGTGAATTCTTCCTTTTTTCTTCTTCGCCGTCATCTTCCTTCACTTTTCTCCAGCTTCGTTGCTCTGTTGTCTACCTTAAGCCTGGAGGGGTTACGATAGTACTCTTCTGGATAGTTGGATACCTACTTGCTTATAGGTCTACGTATAGACTTGATTCACTTGGCTCCTGAGAGATGCGAGTTTATTTACGTATTCGTATCTGGAAAGGAGAAAAACTAAAATGAGAAGTTTGGAAGATTGTGAAACCCGAGGAATCGTATTGAATAGAGAACGACGTGGGTGTATGAAGTATGCGGATTCGTGATACGGTAGGTTGACGATAAACCTGCCGAATGTTTTATACGAGACTGATGTTGGCGGGAATAATAATTATCCCTTGGAATGTACATTACAATATATTCAGACGTTCACAAACATGGTTTGGGCTGGCATACCTGCGCCATTCACAATGACAATCAGAATTGTAGGTGCCATAGGACGCGACAACGGCCTCAGAGAATTAAGGTATTTCCACACGGTGTGTAAGCAAGTAAATCTTGGATCCACAGATAGAGAAAACGTTTAACAGATTCAAAATGTAATATGGTTTCAGTATTATTGTATGTAGGAAGTTTTTACTATTTAAATTCTCTGATGACAGCGGCTAATACGGAGAACCCATGATTCTCGCAATAGCCAAGGAAGTCAAACATGGAGGTCTTAGGTCTGAATAGATCCTGCTCTCGTCCGGCGGCATTATATGCATTATTCAAATAGCGGTACTAGCTGCCCAACACCTACTAATAACACCAGAAATATTTTTCTTAAGAACGCCTACGCTTGCCCATAGTTAAATACATTTCTGAGCTTTGAAAGGACTCGAGGCGAACCTAGAACAAGCGCCACGGTAAGAAATTGCGGCGCCAACTTTGCACACGCGTAGCACCTTGATTTTTTTTAAATGTTTTATCTATAGGCCTTTTCAATAGTTCTCGATAAGTTTTACAGTTCCTGATAGGTTTTAATAATAGTTCTGCTACGTAACATCGTTAAAGTACCTATTGACGATGCTGGTGACATCATACGCTTCAGTGCAGGCAGGCATGTTGTGCCAGCTTCCAGTGTTGTTTTCCATCGAGTTTCAAACAGTTCCGGGATAATTCTCACTAGAGCTTACTGTTCTGCACACAGTTCCGCTCGGCACTATATTGTTTGGACATTGCTGGAAGTCAGCACGGCACCGCTGCACTCCTCAGTGCAGGCAGGCACGAGGTGTTGGCTTTTGTCATAGTAAATTTTATAGAGCTTGAATTGTGCGCTCGAACAGATTGCGAAGAAAAACAATTTAGTCAATACCTGATGAGCGGCTTCGTTCGAAGGATTGCTGTCGGAACCAGCGGTAAGTAGCGGGGAACGTCTGTCCGCCAAGTTTCACGTTCAGCTCGGCTACGACGGGATATGCATTGTCGACGCAGACGATGATAATAAAATTCCACTCCCGGACTCGCCGCTACGATTTAGCGCCATGCTTTTGATATCGCCTAAAACCGTAGCATTGAGCGTCTCCCTGCTCCTCTGTGTATTCTCGTCACGCGCGACGAGGTTATGAATGATAATTCTCTGCGGAGCCCATAAACTATTAATTACACCGGCCCTGGCGTCTTGATAATCAGGAGCTGCTATCGGCCGTCCCGTCTACCTAGTATGCACATGCTAAACACGGTCTCCGCATGTATAACACGATTGCCAAGTGCCCTCGGGCCACACGATATTCCCGCGACAATATGTTCTCCGCTAGTCAGCGACGGTTGGTACGTTGCGGAGTATTCACGTACCAACCCTGCTGCCATCTATGAGTAACCCTTATCCTTTACGATAACTAGCGCCAGCTAGCAGTGGCTAGCTAACCTTAGTTCATTTATTCTACATAAACCCTCTGGCTGCTGATTGACGCCTTATGCAGTATTCGTAGTGACGATAGCAGCTTTAGCTAATCGAGATGATTCGGAAAAAAATTCACTGCTTTCCTGTGCGAGATGGAGCCTTTGCCGATGTGAACTGTTTAGGCCGCAGGCTCTATAGGTGGTCCACGCCTGGCCTGTTCACTATCTTACAACTGGTGCAGGTTCGTTCACCTACCGTTCACACCTCACTGGATATAATACCGCGTGTACCTTCTTGAATTCAAAACCCTCACAAAAACATCATAAACCTAGAATATACATATGAGAAATATATGTTTAATTATATATTATTTATATCTAGAATAAACCATTTTTTACTGCATTCCGTATATACGTAAACGTACACGTACCCCATGGAAAATGCACAATTTTTTTTTAATTACAATAAGAATAAGGTTGCAATTTTTTTTTATTACATACTAGACCTGTCTATGTATATATTCTGTATGTAAGGAAATCTATAAAATCCTCTTCAGTTACGTGAATACCTGAAGGTCGTTTTTATGTCGAAAGACTAAGAATTTTCTAATGAATCATTATCTCGAATTGGATCAGTGTACCCGTCCGTAACCTCTTGTTATCGTAGAAAACTTATCGACTAACAAGTTGTACCCTATAGAAACACAGTAATCCCCATTCTGTTGGAAGATAAGAACACTTTGCTGTGCGGTGCAGCGCCTTACTCGTAGCGGCACTATCCTATCTCACCCCTGGACAGTGGTGGATTCAAAGTGCACCCAAGCGCGATCAAGTTCGTCTTTATAAAATCAAGAAAAATAAATAACCAAGAAATATTAAAAGAAAAAAAAACGAAAAATTAATAGCACAAAAAATATCTCCATGACAACTAAGGTACAAATTTTCTCAAATTATCCCAATATACGTACAATAAAATAAATAATTTACAGATCGGTTTCCTTCTGTCGCTAAACTCGTAACTGTCGTATAACGTGTCAAAAAAAAGTCCTAAGAGTATCACAAGCATTCTTGTAATCCATATACCCATTAAAACGTATTCCCACTCAGTTACTGTGCTCTTTCATAAACTGCTGCTTCCAGTACCTATTTCCGTTTACAAACGTCCAACCACAGTTTCCTTCTTAGTGTACAACACGAGTTCGAATCTGAGCTAAGAACGCATAAAAGCTAAAGAAAATGGCTCTTTCGCAAGGATATTAATTACAACCTACTCGGATGCTGTCACACAGTAAAGCCAGTATTACAATGTAAAAGTGTTTCTTCCTGAATATTCGCTTACATCTTTCGCTCTTTGTCTGTTACGCATGTTGCGACATACAGTGTATAGATAGGTAGGTAAACTTCGAAAGAACGGCCAAATGCATAACACGTAGAACATGGCGGCTAATACCAAGCACTCGTATGTCCTAAATCACTTACATCGCGATTACCAAGCGTTCGCGTATATAATTACGTGAAATTATCATTACTCATCATCAATGTACGATCGGCGCATATAGTTCTTGCTACAGTACTGGTAGCGCCCCCGGTGACGATAATGATGGAATGATGGTACGCTACTCAATGCACATTGATAGCGATGCACTTGCCATTTCCCTTTTAATTTCCTTCTGTGTTACACATACATACGTTTAAACAAATTAAATTTACATTACATACATGCATTAAAAAAGTTTTTAACAATTTTACAGCACTTTATAGTATTTTCCAATTACTTTAAAGCGCAATAAAATAATTCATCACAGCTCGGTGCGTAGATCGCAATTACAATGAATGAGGTATCACATTTAATTGTTACATATTCCGCATACCCCGAAGCCCCATTCCAATCAGTAGCAAACTAAGAGTAATGTTTCACATGAACCAGAAAAATCTCAAAAACAACTATAGTTTCATAAATCGATTCAGAATGTCATTTTAAAAATTAAAAAAAATAAAGCCCATTTCGTGAAAGGATCAAAGTGCCCTTTCGACCTGCAGAATGCCCAATCCCAATAAGATTAAAACTCACGATTGGGTCCCTGGCAATTCGATACCTCCCCATTCTGCGATAATGGTTTCGCCAGAAGGAGTCTAAGTGATGTCCGACCAAGGAAGAGTGACTGACAATGAGAGACGTCTGTTCAGCGAAGCGCTAAGTGGCGGCATCAGTGATCTCTTAATTCAATCACTCGACACTGGAGCAAAAAGCTTCGCCGCACGACCCACCAATTAATTTGGGAAGTACAGCGTCCGTAAGGATCGTACTGGAGGCTCGCTTACTTGGCTACGATGACGTAGAAGTTCAGAATGATTTTACACTACGAGGGCCGCCTCGGTCCATGTTCAACGTTCGGCAATCACGCCTTCTCTAACGAACAAGACTAATCGATTCGTTAGATGACTCCTCCGATGCTTTTGGATACGTTCAAGATCATTCTACCAGCCATCTTAGGACCATTGGACCCTTTCGAGGGCCAAGGTCACTTGAGGTCGTTTAACTTCCGGTATCATATGCAAGACCGTGCTTGCTTACTTTTCACTTCGTTAACCGTGCTCCCCCCTCTCCAGCCCTCTTCGGGTACCGTTCGATTCTGACTTTACGAAGCACTTTCCACGGTGCGCCTGCTGGGAAGTTTATACTATTACAGGCACTAATCGCCGTGCCTGATAAAGCCTGGACCATTACGCACCTCGATATCGTTTGTTATAACCTCGACTATGGTGCATCTGGTGATTCTAACGTGACCCGAGGATCAGCGGAGGCGCAACTGGGGCTCCTCTTGAAGAATCGAATTATCGTTGGATATATATGTGCTTGTATATATATATATATACACACTATAGAACACACCGTGGTGCACGTCTACTTGAACTGGAGGATTTTACCTTGTTGTAGGAGGCGAGCAGCACGAGCGGCTCTTTGTACGAGGGATTACATGGGAAACGTAGCGGTGTAAATAAAACCAGATAGCCAGAGGAGGCGAGATGCTTTTCGATCCCGATCAACTTTATTGCCTTACCGTTCGTCAACTTATTGACCCCGGCACTTCGTGAATGAACTTCGACACAGTCAGAGGAAGAAATAGAATACGATACATCGGCTTGTATACTCCGGCCTTATCCTTTTCATTATTCTACCTGCTATTCTATAGGGGCCTTTAGAAGTTCCTGGATCTTCTCCATATAACTCATATCGAGTACCTGTACGAGTGATGACTACCGAGACGTCTTTGGCGATTTTTTTTTTAACTTCCATATGCATCGACTCGCCAATGAGAATTCATTGGCAGCGAATATCGGCAGCTGAATGAAAATAAAAGAGGATAAATCCGTTCAGCCGTGAACGACAGAAGGACGAAGGAGAAACATGCTGCTTGAAACAGCCCTCCTCGACCTAAAGTCGATGACCTTAGAACTCGCGTAGTCGGTCTCACCTACGGATATAAACTACTGAAAATTTATGAAGTATCTACTTGATATTTTGAGAAAGTACAAGAATGACAGTTTCGCGTATCTCATGTATAATGTATTAGTTGATTTATTTAAAAAAGGCTGTTTAATCTTATCACAAGTCCACGTTCACTCAAGACGCACACCAAGATTCTTAGCGAAAATTAATGTGAACGTAAATGATGACGTATGTACGATGGTAGAGCTGAGAAGTGCGCAAGTACTGAGGGATCCATTCATAAGGCAAAGGACAGTAGGATGGACAGCTTCTTTCAGCTCCCACTGCTAGAAAATCATTTCAGCCATTCGATTTGACTTGGCTGTGACGGTTTTCATGATGGATAATGGCACGCTCTCATTAGGCAAAGGTTAAGCCGCAATTAAATAACAATTACACTGTTGCATAGTGAATACTCCCGTCGAGACGTCACAATAATAGATCACAATGGTCAAATGTGCTATTTCTATCCTTCCATGATGAACCCACCTGCCATGTGCCAAGTGAAGCTTCATTACGTAAACGTCCATTCACACTATTCTGAATTGAATAAGGAATCTCAGTGTACAAAATGAGGATAAGATCAAACTCATTCCTACACAAATGCACCTTCAAGATTTCATTAAATGACTATCCAAGTAAACGGGAAATCAAAAGGATACAACATTCTCGTTCAATGTATTTACACGAACTTCACTTTTTCTAATTTATCTGATCCATTGTAAAAGGCTATAATTCCCTATTATCCTGTCTAGGGAATTCCGAGGACTACCCGGATTCCCCATGGACACGTCTCAGAGCGGAAAAAACAATTAGCGATGGTGTAACTGCTACAGGGAACACTCATTGCTATAGACGATAATTATCTATGAATATGGTAAACAAAGATGGCGAATTGTCTTCGAAGAATCTATACGCTTAAGGATATTCCTATGATGACGTTTCTCTAGAAAATTACTAAAGATTTTTTAAGACCATATATGAATTAAGCAGTTCCGACACATACTTCGGTCGCTCAGTCTACGGCCCCGACGATCTATTACATATGTATAAGTATATTATCTTAACAGACTATAGTACCTTCTTAGATATACTGACACAATTCCATCTATGGGAAAGCACGAGGTCTTTCCATGAACTCGGTACGTGCGGGAGAACTGTACTTATTTCCGTCGATTGCGTCTCATTTCGCTCCAAGTATTCGTATCGAGGACAGTTGGTACCCATGAGCCTTACTTTATAAGGAAGATCATATATCCTACATGCGATCAATACCAATTGTCAGACTATCAATAAGGTGAATATCCCAGAAGTTTTATGCCTTTGTAAATTATTATAATGCACTTTAATATGTAACGGTATTGATATATTGACTACTATAGAGCGAAAAGTTCGTTAAAGCTATTTTTATAAGAGGTTGCAAAATTCCCTGGATATGGATATCCATAAAATATCCCGAGGTCCGCTAACGTATATAAAAAGAACGAAGACAATGCACGCACGCTCTCGTTAAGCTGGAAAATATATTTCACTGTAAGTCCACGGGGTCGTTATAAAGCCATGCCAGGAGAGTTCGTTAATTACCATAAAATAGACTCTAATTATTGTAAAATGCCAAGTGCAGCCATTGCAAGGTGTACGTGATATAACCTGTGCGAGAATATTGAAATTTCGTGGATATATAGGCATAACTGAGGTATACTTACTGTCATTATTCAGTGGTAATAATTTTTTTTTGTATAACGTATGAGAATGACAGATATTTATTATTCATCCAAGACAAAACCAATTTACTCCCTTGGTGAGTATAAGAGGTACTAAAAAAACGTATTATACTCAACAGCGACAGTAAATATTACTGCAAACTCTAATTACGATTGAACCAGCTTGAACGATTTCATTGGTATCCATTACTCGGAAACCGTTACGGCCTCCACCATTCTTCAACGAGAATGTTTGGATGTATTTACTCTGCTTTTATTCGAAAAAGCCATTGTCTTCTTGGGCGGCGATTGCGAGACTCCAGAACTAACGCTAGATCTATATCTTAAGGAGCCGTAAAGTTCTTGTCGAGTTAAGCAAGAATCAGGACCGATCAATCGTGTTTCTGATCTCCAGAAGTTTCCGAACACCGACACTCAGAACGGTTACGTTTCAAGCATTCAAATTTAGCCACCCTATAGATTATAAGTGACACTTGGTAGAGAAAATGTGTAATATACTATGAAACCAAAAAATCTCAACCAATCAAGGTTTATTGAAGTTAATCCAAAAATTTTCCAACATCAAAAGCCTAGAAGACTAGATTTAGTAGCTACGGCTACCGGGTACTTTTACATGGGAATAATAACGCCTGTGCGATCCGACAAGCACAACGCCATTGATAGGCCATATGGCGTGTGCACATTCCATGGATTTAATTGCCTTATACTGTGTGGTTATACAGCCTCTTGTAATGTGGACTCACATGTTGTACACGTACGTGCTTTTATAGGCGCGAAGCTCAATAAATAATAACTAGGGCATAGCACAGTGTTTATTATGGTCTCCCATTACTATATACTTTCTTGATTGTTTTACTAATCAACATTTTAATTATCCAGCTAAACATCACGGAGGTTAACGGTTCTATACAAGTTTGATACGTCTGTGAAGTTGACTAGGAACAAGGTTAACGAGACTGATCAAAACATACGAACTTCGTTAAAATCTTTTGTTACTTACCACCATGAAATCCTAATTACATCAATCCCATAAAAGCCGCCGATCCTTTTGACTCGGAATGAATACCATGGGAATTATATTACATAGTAAAAAAACACAGTTATCTGCCACTCTAAATTCTAAAACGTTTCACTGCCTATATCCAATTTATGGTTTCTGTTTTTGTTATACCGACTGATAAAATATTGACTCCATATTAAATTTCTGTCATATATGAATTGCTTATTGATAGTATCATACCTTATATATTCAGTACTTGATGCTACCTGCCAGTAAAACGGTATTCTTGTATTACAATTTACTTTAAGATATTAGTCTTCATTCGGTTGACACATTAGCGCGAAGCTGAGCCTCCATGATAGTTTTGGGCATTTATTATTTGGTGGAAGGTGCCATCTCCCGGTGGGCAAGGCCACTTACTCAACCGGACACCCCATAGAGAAATATAGTTTGTACTGTCAGGAGGCGCTGTTTGCTTTGCCTTGTATTATTATTCAAATTAACTCCTCTTTGGGTCGCGTTTATCTTCAATTTCGGTTATAAATCTCAAGTACGGGTACATATTATTCTTATGTAGCCGTACGTGCCTGCGTATACGTATATGCACAATATACAAGTAATATACAGAGTTTATGTGACGTTACATAAGGGAGGATCATTACGAAATATACGCGACCGACCAATACGTAAATTCTTATATGCTATAAGCCAAGGCAGGTATGGTGTGTATACGTGTAAACGTGTCGGACTGGGTACTTGTACCGACGTCATTTTCATTAATTACCGACCGAGCAAACGTCGTAGTAGGTCGTTTCAGAGTGGCCTTAATTAAAGTACAGGTCTTAGTCATTGAACGGACGTTGATGGTGAATTTAACATTCACTTTTGGAAATGAACATCGGTGAACTCGTATAAAACTGTTGGTGCGACCGTATAAGACTTTTCTTTAGCAGCTAATAAGAAAGCAGCTTCAGAGAGACTTGAAAGTATTACTCAGTGACTGCCATATGTTGAACCAAAAAGGCGATGCTTCGATTTGGAAACGAGTTTCTTTCAATTAATCAGCTTCCTCGACTCTCACTCTTCCGAATCGTCGGAGCTGCTCGTCCTTGCATCACTGCTTGGATACATGTTGACGTAACTGCACAGGATTTTCGGGCTCAATTCTACCAGGTAAATTTATTATGAAAGTACAAGTGAAAGTTTGACAACAAAATATATAATTATACTTAACCACATTGCTTCGTTGATCCTTCGCTAAAAGGTTCAAACGTTAAATAATTCTTTTATCCGACATTAAAAACAGAGTCTGTCAATAATATTTTCGTAATAAGATTCATAAATCGACGATACAGTACCAGTACATTAAAGATCTAATTAACGTAGTTGGCCCAATAACATAAAAGTCATTGTCGACGAGATACTGGACTTCGGCAAACCGGATCCGTTATATAAATCAACCATTCGTATCACCTTGTCGATTTCATCTGCTAATTTGGCCAGCGAAACGTAGATCGACCATAATCAGTTACGTTACGAGCCTATCATAAAACCGCGCCCACGATTAACCTCTCTTAATCTCCTTTTCTCTTCTCGCTCATTCTCTTACTCTCTCCACCCATGGTGCCACTAGCTAATTAATAATTTATAACAACTCCCCCAGTACTAAGTTACGTCACGGGTTGGAATCAAGAAGAGACCAGTTGGGTCCTTTATCCTGACGATGGGTGCAACACTATAAGAAATTGTCAGGATTTACTATAGCAATAAAGATACATATATGAGAGTATGATGATTGCGTGATTCTACTGATAAACATCGTTCGAAACTTCACTTTATGGACTCGACGACTTCTCTGTTTCTCATCCACCTATTACATACATATGTATGTAATATCACGGTTTATCGTATAACAACCAACTGTAAGACATGGAAAATATTACAGAATATCTTTGTTCCAACCATCGCATGTTCCCTAAACGATACCGTAGTTATGCTCGTTTCTGCAAATCTTATTCTTTCTCACCATTTTATGCGATCAACCATTGAAATCATCAAGCGCGACGCGAATACGACTATACACACGTCTAGCCGGCATTACATTGCCTTCCGTTAATGTTACGTTACAATACACATTATGATGCGTGAGAAGACAAAGTTTGCGAAACGCTACTCTCCCCGTTCAATCTGCAATCCTGATCACGCAAGATCTTCAATCTTCCATAACAAGATCCTTGATCTCTAGAGATACGAGATCTCATCCCGACGAGTATCATACATTTACACACTGACATCCAGGTTCACTGAGACCATTTTTTTTCTTTTATATACCAAAACTTAAATATCTGATCATCCTCAAAGAATGGATTACGTATTGCGTACGTGGTTATATATTGTCTATATATATACGTATAGTATACTAAACGATATATATATAGTGTTGCATGCTTGGCATAGTTACATAAGACAGCTCTCGCGGATTCCGCATAACGGTAAGCCCGTGAAGCATACGAATTCATTATATCGTTCTGGTCCCATTTGGCTAACAATATGAAAAAGCTAAAGCGTCGCCATGACAAAAATGCAATGTTACGTAACGTAAACCGCTTAGTTATATTCTGGCCGCGTAAATTCACCTACACCTTTTGCAATTCCTGTTACAGCTGGTCGAGGAAGAAATTTACCAGCAATTTGCATGGGTACCCTATGCGCAGGATATGGACTTTGAGATTTACAGTACCGAATATTCATGCCACACTCTGTTCCTTATCTCGAGTTGCGAAAGGATCTTATACGGTTCCTTAAAGTACTTGGAAGTTGGAACTAGGAATAAAGTCTCTGAGTATATAGTAACCAAGAGAAACTTATCTGTATAGCACAATGGACAAGGTATGTCTGTTGTATCGCATGACAAGATTCAATCGATAGTATATAGATTATAGATTGATCTCAGCATGATGCTGTATCACTGCATGGAACAAGAACTTATCGAAATCTGATAACCGTTTCTGTTTGGATTTGAAGATTATAACCTTTGACCTGAAAATCATTGACACATTCCAATCACTCCGGTATGGTCGTGAACCTAAATTTGATTGATCGACAATCGTGTGTACAGTATCGGTTATTGAATTGACATAAATTTGTATAACCAACCTTATTGAAATTTCAAATAGACTAAATGTGAAAGTCACTTGATGCGTCAAGAAAAATGAACGTGCAACTTTCTTTTTTAAAAGAAAGTAAATTATTATTTTGACATTTACTTGATCGATGTCATATGCCAAAATTGTATCGTAATTTATATGCGGCTCTATGTACGATTTTATTATGCAATTCATATTCGCAAACTTTTTTCTGTTATTTCATTCACTTGCGATTCCGAAGCTCCTTTAGTCGTAATTCGTTCTCATGTAACTAAGGTGGTACGACTTCTAAACGTACGATAAACTCCGTGGTTACCGGGACATAGTAACAGGTAATCAAAACGTTACTTTATTACACTACAAGAATGCGCTGGGAAGATTTCGTCGGCTATTTGTATCGTCGTGAGAGACGTAAGTGAACTGCGAATATTATCTGTGAAATTTGAACTGATTAATGGAACTGTAATGGTGAAACATATATTAACATTTATTGACTGCGAACAGAATCTCATAATAATCCGTGTAATTACGTCCAAACCAAAGACAATATACATTTACCTTCCATCCAGTGATTTACCATAATTTAATTGAATCTCTACAATTTTCTAATCGATATCTGACGTAGTTAGCTCGTATGAAATAATCGACAGGGAACAGACACGACTTGTGCAGCCTAGTTTTCTTAACGATATTACTTCAGCCACCATTAAGGTAATTATAAAAGAAACAGTAACCCCATGAAACAAGTATTTACGTAGCCACCATTATAATAAACCTTAATATATATAGATAAGTACCTCACGCGTTCGCCCTAACACATTAGAGTATTCAACTCCTGGAACATTATACATTCGATTTTATTGAGCATGACTAAGGAATCTCAGTAACTTTCATCGCAAGGCAATTATCACCGTTTATTCCTGACAGATAATTGATTAGATTATTCATTTATAATGATATATCAGCAATATATTATCATGTTCTATCTTGATACTTCAGATAATAACATCAGTCAACGAGATCACACATTGTATCTACGTGCCATAAAATTTTGTATTATTCACAGAATTTATCAATATAAAATCAAGTAACTTAGTACTATAGACAATACGTGGTATACATATGATATATGGTATAGTGTGAAATATACCCATTTATCTTTTGAAACACTTTTGAGTTTTCGGAAAATGATACCATTATCAAAGTCGTTTTGAATTATCAATAACACTCTGACAGTTATCATATATTTTAGCTCTTAGGTTTTACCAATGCTTTAACCTATTCTATTCTATGCTAATTCAAGCATCGTTGTTTTAATGTAATCCAGATATGAATATACTCTTGTGTAACCGTCAGGCATACCAATAGCACAGCCATATCCCCAAGATACAATACCAACAATCGTATTATTGTAAATTAAAGGACCACCGCTGTCACCCTAAAAGGAAATGCATACATTTATCAATATATCACTTGAGATATCAAAAGTTACTCTCATTTATCGATATTAATAAAAGAAATATTTACACTACAAACGCCAATGCCGTATTCTTGAAGTCCACAGAGATGGGAATCATATATCGCTAAGTTAACAAACGATTGGCAATATGTGTTGTTGAGAAGCGTAACGCTAGCTTTTTGTAAGGATGTTGGCGAAGAGTAGCTAGGGTACAATACGCGACCCCATCCACTGACAGTAGCATCTACGTCAGTAGGTGCATCCTCTGTCGGTAACGAAATGATTGATTGGCTTGAACTGACAGTCAGTTCCGTACTGAGCTGATGCAAAAGAATAATAACGAATATTTATCAGATAAGTATAACTATAAATATATTATTAATTGTTCTTACCACGGTCGTACATACAGGTCTTGCAACTCCCTTGGAGAGGGTAGTCTTCTTTTAGAAGCATTTTTCATTTCGCTTCATGACCACAAGAGACGTTGCGATCAAGCGATCCGTTCCTATTTCTCTCTCCCACAGCCGATTGTAAAGTGAGATAGATAAGGGGTCGCTCGATCACAGCGACGCTTGTGACTAAAATTTAAAATGTGCCGTGCTTCAAAACCACGTCTACCCCCAACGCTGGAAATTGGACGAGTTGCAAGACCTGTATGTAAGACCGTGGTTCTTACCCTAATGATGGCGATATCATGGCGCCAGGTTGAACTGGCACTGTCATCGTAGCTGCTATGATAAGTTAGATTTTGTATCCCGTAGGTGTCGCCACCTGTTGCCAGACTGTTAGTTCCGGTAATAACGGTCAGATCCTTCAAAGGATAATCCTGCTGTACGAACTCGATGATACAGTGAGCAGCTGTCAAAATATGTTTCGTACTGATGATCGTGCCGCCACAATAATGACGATTTTGGTATCTCAATGATACTTGATGAGGAAACTCAGCAATTTTGGCATTTTCACCACCGATTATTCGCGTGTTCAGAACACCACCACTGATTCCTATTGATTGTTAATAATTTTTCGGTTAATTAATTAATTGTTATTCACGATGCTTTACTCACCTTTGGCAAGAATACCAACGACCAAAATAGACAAAAGAGAGAAGCTCATTTTGACAGGAGTCATTGTCACCTGTCGATACTTTAGTGTACGCGTTGCGAGCGAAAATTCACGACATATAAACTTCCTTTTATAGAAGTTGGAATGTTTATCTGCAAAACCCAATCAAGCCCAACTGATTAAGTTATCTAATGGTGTTAATTAATAGATCGAACTACATACACTCTACGTAATTTCCTAGATTGAAATCGTTCTTAGAATTATTGTAATGTAAAATTGATAATTAAGGTAAATAATTTGTATAATTATCAAAATGATTTCCCATTGGCATTCCAAATGTTTTTTACGATACTCATTGAATACAAAATGCATAAGTGCAATCGTGTCGAGGGAAATAATAGTAACAAAGACGATTATAATTATTGAAAACCGCAAATCGTGTGGGCCGAATGGTGACGTCACGTGCTCAGTGTCCTCGCCGTGTTTGGAGCGGCTGAGCGTATGGGTCAGTGCGTTGGGCCCACTCGTCCGTGGGCCCATTATAAGGCCCGTATTACAAGCGATCACCGCCGATGTAACTGAACCTTCGTCTCCGCCAAGTCACTATGACAACTTGACACGTGTTCAACTTTTTTCCCTTAAGCCTTTTTATTACCAAAAGTACAAATTCATGTAAAAGAAATTGAATTACAAAACTATAATTCCCTATTTAAATTATCCATCAATATAAAACGTCTTTTTATCATCAATCGATACTATACCAGAAAGAGATTTTCCTGATAGCTTATCTTAGTTTTTGGCGATTGAAAATAAAACAGTTATCAGACGCGCAACAGTATCTCTCAATGATCAGAAGAAAAAAATAAGTTCCAAGTGTTAGGTTATGCCCGTGCACGTATCTAAATGCCTGATAAAAATCAGCATTCATTATTTAGTTATTACTAGACATTTTTCGGGATATTTTGAAATTTTCGGTTTAGACCGAAAACTCGAGATATCAGTATTGAGTTACTAGATATAAAGAATTAAAATAATTTTTAGACTGATAGAAGTAAGGCAAAGGAGGCTGCTAAGGATATTGTTATATAGAAATATATATTAATAATACATCGAGATAGCTTGCGATGAACTGTGACATAATAAGCCGCCTTAGCAAAGTCACAATTACGTGACACCGGCCGATATCCGCTGGCACAGCAAAATCACGTATACGTGACAACGGCTGTCAACTTTTAAACGTAACGAGAACACAAGGAGTCGGTTAGCACGCAGATCTCTTATGCTAAAACATATATAGACATAAGGGTGGTGCTAAAGAGAAATATTGTGACCGTGAAGGCTGATCAGAATTTCTGGATACTTGGCACACGCGCTCCAACGTCCTGTGACGTCACAGCACATAATAACGAAGGTGGCCGGGGCTGCCTCGTGCTATGCAGGTTAGTAGAGCACTGGCGCTGCGACGCCGAGAGACTCGGAGCATTGACGCGATAAAACCATCCCGGGGCGTCGAGCGTGTACTCCCTCTTTTGCCTAAAACGAAAAGCACCGTACTGAAACTGCTGTGGGAGGAAGTTGTTCTCGAAATTATCCTTTGGGAATGGCGTTGGTCAGATGCTGCTTCGAATCTGAAGCACCGGATGTCTTTGAATCTGTCGTACGAAAGTGCACTGATCCAGGCTGTGAGTAATAATAGAAATATTTAAAAAATTCGATTTCATCCCTTATAACCACATGCGAGGTTACTATTTAATAATCCTGAAAATATTTAGCACTGACTTTATTTATAATCCATGAGGGTAGTTCCAGATTGTTTGATTACAATGAGCTATACCGGCATCATTGTAGGATCACTTATCTCGTAACATATGTAGGCTATACATGAATCAAACTGTATTTCGATCACGTGGTTTAAGGTTAGTTCAAACCGGGAAATTCGTGGTTAAAAAAACCGAGTCAGCCTTGAATATGTTATGATGTTGGAAATATGTGTATGTCTTGTCCTCACTCGAGATAATCATACTTTGATCAATGATAAATATTAGATTAATCTATTATTTGTATAAAATTAAAAGAAAATATTTTCCCTCACCTGACGTTCTTTTTTTTCCTTTTCAAAATGTCATCGATTACAGGCAACCATGCGTTTCTCTTATCTACCATCAACAGATGCATAAGTGGCACGCACAAATTGATATTGTAATGCATGGACGTAAAAGCGTAAATATATGTGCATACGTATTACCAGAATGGTTTCCCCACATCTATGTAGATGACAGGCGTCGAATTGAGGATCTCAAGTACCGTTTTCAACGTAGCGCGAATTATTTATGGCGACTGTGAAAGGTAGGGGAAAATATAGTAATTTTTTTACAAACTTTGTCGTAGATTCGTCATGCGTCTTTACCGTCGGTACCGTTTGTCCCACATGCAGATCACGGGGTTTACAAAACTTGATACCTTATATGCGAATTAACCTAAAAATCATAAAAGATTCAGTAGTATATATGCATGTATATAAGTACTAATGGTTATACCTCTTGTGAGTTATCTATGCGTAATGGAGCGCGAAACCCGTTTGCTACTAAGAAAAGAAGTTGAAAACAACGATCTTCCTGTCTGGAGACCTCGAAATTTTAATAAGCTATGCGAAACCTTCGTCGACAACCTCCACGTGCATCATTCACAGTATCTTAACATATTCTTGCGGTATTCGAATTACAAATGGCGCGAAAGCGTACACCTTTCTCTATAATGCGTGATATATAGGTGCTCGTGCAGAAGAGTGACGAAATTCCTACGATTATTCTGTGATTCTATTATTAGTATTGGACGTTACTCTTTGAAATGATTTTACGCTTCCTGTGATCGCTTTAAGATTTTCAATTTCCTGTGTGTTGTCGCTCCATGGCGACATACACCTATATCAGGTATTGATCTGTGAAGACTTATTATGGGTGGCTACCCTTCTTTTTTAAGCCTCGTCCGGATACATACTGTGTATAATGCGCTTTATTTATAGGTTGCGTGTAGACTATTATTTATGGAAACTCCCATATTTTGTAGGCGTTCATGAAATGATTGAATTTTAACTTACGCTATACAGAGTTATTCTATATTCTCCTTTTCATGGATTTATAACCCTTAGCGGGATTAAGTACTAACATACAGTGTTATTCAATACTGTTGAATTGTAGTCGTTCTACCATAGAAAATATATAAATGGTTCAATTTTGGTTGATGAAATAATCTTGAATAATCTTATATGCACTAAATATTATGTGTCTGCAATGACAATATGTTTTTTAAACGAATTATCATTAATGCTTGGATTTGTAATTTTTGAACAATGAAATATTATTTGTATAATGCTTTTGGATATTATCTTGTACATGAGTTTGGATAATTGAAATTCTATCGTTGAATATAAAAAAATTAATTTAGTACTTTTCGTTTATTAGAGAATGTAAAGGATAATATTCAAAGTTCTAAGAGTAGCTTATGGCTCCATCTGTTGACAATTAGCCGAACGTAGATCAACTGATGGTGAAGTAAGAATGAAGTGAATGAAATACGATGACAATAATTATTATGTTATAGCAATATTCTATATTTTCTTTGTACTCTACTATTGCATTCCTGCTTAAGGTCTTATATTTGAATACATATGGCATCTCTTTAAGAAAGTCTTTAATACCTTCATGTTTACTCGGTTTTATCGTTTTTTAGGAAACTCCGGATTTTTTATTATCATGCAAGTAATATGTCAACGAAAATAGTAAATAATAGGATTTTGATAGAGATTTTTTCCCAAAGAGAAGAACAGGATACATTCTCCAAAATGAACAATCCTTTTGATATCAATATAGCAATAATTAACCCAAAATTAAAAGACTAATAAAATCTGAAAATTTTGATGTGAAATTGAAACGCGTGCAAAGTTTCTGATCTGATTACTTTTGCATTTAATTTTTACGAATTTAATCGAAACACAACGATGATCTTAGCGTTTCCGGCTCATTTTCGAACATATGTATAGTGTTTTGGAGCACTTAAAAATGCTAGAACGAACAGGCCTGCTCATTAGATAATGAATCATACTACTCCGTCGATAAGATACTTCTAGTGAATAGTAAGACGTATTAGTGTGTCGTCGAAGTAGAGTGCGGGTGGACGTGACAAGATGTTCGGTAATGGATACTGTTTCGGAATAGTTATTCAGTTATAAAGGCTTTAGTTTATTCACATGACACGTATATTTCGGTATACGACATTAATAATCTAGGGAGGATAATAGTAATTGACAGAAATCCTAACGATACTTTACATTTACTGCTCACTTTAATATTCTAGGCTGCTGCTGGTGCTGTTCTGCATTGCGACCAAGGTATAAAAGACTTGTGGACAATATATTTCCAGTCAATCCTCAGGTATGGATTTAAAATATATGTTAAATTCCTTATTTTCTTAATTACATACGTGGTTTTTATAGTACTATTTCTGTAATGTTTTATTTTTCGAGGACAATTTTAAAATATAGTTTATTGTTCAATAATTTTATGTAACTTAGGTTGATAGGGATCTATAGTTTGCAACTGCATTGTAATTAAATAAGTGATAGTCATGTTGAGACAATATTACAAGTTCTACTATGATATGCAAAATTATACTGAATTGATATATTTATACGTTACTAGAATGCTCGAGGCATATATTCTTGAAAATATAAGGATTGTATGAATAATATGAATGTATGATATTTTTGTACAGGATGGCTTGGTCAAAAACAATATGGAAAAGCTGACATTTTATTCTCTCAGTAGTCCAGAAAAGTTGGATAGAATAGGGGAATATTTGTTTCAGCGAGCTTCCAGAGATATTTATAGGTATGTAGAAACAAACCATAGTCCAATATTTTCATATATATAACAAACATGGAATATTCTGCTTGAAATACTTTAATATAGAAATCTGAAAATCCGTTTAGGAAACATTATCAAAATATACATTACCTAAATTATTTTTGCTACTGTTAAATATCATATACTGAATAGTATCATAAACATTAAATTGCTGAAAAATAATAAATCATGTATAATTTTTTATATGAGACCACTTCTGCTACACAGATTTACATTAATTCTTTTATCATCTTTATTTACAAAATTTACTTACATATTTCTTGTTTTGTATATGATGTAATAGAAGGCGAAATGGATTTGTCATCATCGCAATGGAGGCAATGGATCAGCTATTACTGGCGTGCCATGCCCAAACTCTTAATTTATTTGTTGAGAGTTTTTTAAAGATGGTTCAAAAATTATTAGAATCTACTGAACCAGAGTTACAAATTTTGGCAACACAGTCTGTGAGTATACATTAAAAATTGATAATCCGTTTATCTACTATCTCCATAGTTTACTTAAATATTTGGAGATTGTGATTGAAATTGTGGGTATGATCACTTATGTATTTCAAACATGAATACATAATTTATAAATTACATTGCATGTGTTTGTCGTATGTGCTCTCTACTACAATAAAAGATGTGCAGTGAGCTTCTCTAATTTTCGCTACGCCGTGTGAATCATTCAAGAGAACAGATTATACCAAATTTTTAATTCAGTTGAACAAAATGCTTTCTTATTCCAGTTTGTTAGTTTTGCCAACATCGAAGAGGATACGCCGTCTTATCACACACGTTACGATTTCTTTGTATCAAAGTTCTCTGCAATGTGCCACTCCAACCACGACGACATGGGAATCCGCAAGCAGATTCGACTCGCAGGGATACAGGGATTGCAGGTGCTGTAGATTTTGTTTTTAATGCAAAAGTTTAATTTCCGAATTAAATGCACGAATGAGTATGTAATTATACCTTTTTTCAGGGTGTCGTAAGAAAGACTCTTTCTGATGATTTGGTAGAAAATATTTGGGAGCCTGTACATATGGATAAAATTGTTCCTTCGCTGTTGTACAATATGCAAAATTTAAGGTATGTTTATTGTTTGTGTTGTTATGTTTATTGTTTTTATTAATTATTCAACCATTCTGTTAGATATTCTGATAAAGAGGATGCGACTCCAGAGAGTCCTGTCGAAGAAAGATCTGATCCACCACAGTTCGCAGAAACTTGTATGCGCGAACTCGTTGGACGGGCCTCATTTGGACACATTCGTTGTGTTATACGCCCAGTATTAAGGTAAATTTAAATTTACTAAATTTTGCCATTAAAACTTTAATCAAACATTATCACTTATTTATGTTCATAATTTATAGGCATTTAGATAATCATCAACTATGGGTTCCCAATTATTTTGCGATACACACGTTTAGAATAATCATGTTCTCCATTCAGGTTGGTTTTATAAATATTGTCCAATTTACATTTTTCATATAATTAGCTATTGACGTTATATCTCTTTCCAGTCACAATATTCTTATACCGTGGTCGAAGCTTTAATGACTCATCTTGACGAAAATTCGAAATCCACAGCGAAAATTCGAACGAGCATAGCCGACACTTTGTCAAAAATCATATCTATTGCAGCTGGTGAAAGCGTCGGTAAGGGAATCAAGTGATTGATGAACTATTTCAGTAACCAAATTTTACTGAAATTGGATACATAGTAAAGTTTACATATTATTCTACCTTAATCTAGGTCCATCCGTGTTAGAAATTATCAACTCCTTACTATCTCACCTACGAGTAAGCGTTACCAGAAATCAGTCATCCAGTAGTGATGAGCAACAGTACCAAGAAGCATTGATTAATGCCTTGGGTGAATTTGCAAATCATTTACCTGATTATCAGAAGATCGAGATTATGATGTTTATCATGAGTAAAGTACCCTACAGTCAGCCAGATCGCGTTGTGTCTGTTGGAAAAGGAGACGTATTGTTGCAGAGCATTCTCTTAAAGTCTCTTTTAAAAGTAACTATTAAATACATACAGTTTTAGTTGTTTAAACAAATATTTCAATATTTTTGTATAATTTCAGGTCGGTACAAAATATCAGACAATTCATTTGAATACTACATTCCCACCAAGTTTCCTAGAGCCGCTGCTAAGAATGTCTTTGGCACCGGACGCTGAGATGCGACTTCTGGTTCAAAAAATTTTGCACACATTAATCGACAGACATCACAATATAACTAAATTTGCGAAACCGACGTAAGTCTATGCATTTCAATCATTGTTATCGATGATTAATACTTGAATAAATATATATTTGTTTCTCTTTATAGCTTGAATGTCGCAGAACTTGATCTGGTTATTGAAAAGTCCTCCAGACCGGATGTAATATTTATACGTAAACACGGTCCTGATATTTACCTAGCTCTTTATGAATCTCTTGAGCTTACAAGCAACACAGTGGAGAATGTTGAAGCCATTTATACGACCTTGGCTCTACTCGCCGTAGAATTGGCGTCCGAGGAAACTGTTCTGGAGTTGTTGAGATTAGTCTTGAGTCTCCAAGATTTGGCATTGACAAGCAGCCAAATCAGTATCTCTTTGAAATTCAATTTACACGCTATTGTAGTGTGTCTGTTAGTTTTGATTTCTTATGTTTGCAATATAACATCCCTTATGGATTACGCTAATAAGGTAAGACAGTCATAAATATCCCCGGAAACATGTGTATATATTGATTTGCAAATTGGAACTTTTTTTATAAGGTTGTCGAAGCTCGACGTAAGGAGGGATTACATTTACTTCCTGATCTGAAATCGCGTTACGATAGTGATTTGACATCTCGGTTGTTACCATCTTTAATGGTAGATCAAACTGTTGTAACTGAGTGCCTTAAAGCTGCTGGCCTTGATACAGGAAAGTTTCAACAGGGATCTGGATATAGCAGTAACTCTTTACAACATAGGTACTACATTAATTTAATTTATATGTAGATTTCATTTAATTACAATTATTGCAAATATTTCCTTAGGCATTCCTGGGTTGATAGCGCTGGACGCAACTCCATGGCTGATATCAACACAGTACCTACAGAAGTGGACAGTGCTGGTTCTTCTCCGGGGGTACAAAAGGTATTTTCAAACTCAATATTCACTTTCTTCTTAATCATCGTTCGACATCTATGCAGATACTGAAGTTATGGGCTATGGAGAAAATCCCAAGTTGGGATATTTTTGGTTCTATAAATGCCACTGGACAGCGAAGTTCCTATACAGATGTCAATGAAGACCTTTCCTATTTCGACATTGTATCCGTCAGTCCATTATATTTTGCTGTTCCTGATATCCTATTACTCCATGTTTTCTTATTCCTTTTATTTAATGGCCATATATAAGTGCAGTTTATGCAATCATTAAGAATTTAATTCAAACACGAGGTGTTCTTTTGTATTCAGAAATTACCTGGCGAGGAATTAACGTTTGAGAGTATGAAAAGGATTTTGACAGAAACCAGTGACATGAGGCGTGAGGTGCAAGAAGAGAAACGAGTGGAGCTTTTACAGTTCTTTAAAAATGCACCCTTCCCTGATCTAGTCAGTAAAACCCAACCAAAGGTGATGCATTATTTTTATATTATTGAAGTTGCTGAATCTGCATCGAATTATATGCGTATCTTTGAATGTCAAATTTGGATCCAATTAATATTTTGCAGCATGACTTATTACAGAGCAAATTGTCGGAAATATTTACAACGCTGTCAGTAGAGCCACGAAATCCAATACAACCAGGAGTGCCACCGGCCGATGCCAAACCAAGCCAAACACCAGCCTATGAAATTCATTTTCCAGAACTCTTCGTGTATTAAGGACAAACACCAGTCATACTTTTTGTTCATTTTATTTATTCAAGACGTAAGTTTTACTCTCGTAAATTACATACGGGATAAGTTAATTGCCTAATATTACTATATCTTTATTTTCATTTTTTATACGATTATTTCAATGGAATTGAAATTTACGCACGCGTATTTGTATATACTAACTGCTCATGTGGTTCAGTGCGAATTGTTAATTACACCTCTCTTATACGTCATTTCGAAACTTCGCTGGTTTTCAAAATCAAAGACACCAAAAATGAGGTTGTTTAGGATAAGAGAGATATTATATAAAAAATATCGTTATTTGTCCGTATTAGACACAAAATTTATTAGGATCTAAGACGAATAAGCTTGATTGATTCAGCTTGTTTCAATAATATTTAGTCCAGTTATTCTTATTAATCCGCATGATTGCGACGGTTAAAGTTCGCGAATGAATTTTAAGAACAAGGAATTTCGTAATATTGACAAAGTTCTTTGTTTTTGAGCATTTAAGAATATGAGCAATGCGCACTGCTTTAGAGATATTAATTTGACGAATCTAATGGCAACAATAATTCGATAGTGTTATTAATTAATCATAATTACATAATTGCGTAATGCTTCCTTTTGCTAATAACATCGTACTTTTAAGTACAAAAAGCGTTTTTGATTTCTAGATAATTCGCAGTAGAATGTATTGCTCGTTTTGGATATTGACTTTAGAAATAGTTGAAAATTCGCCTGTTTTCTAAATCAGTATCTTATATTGTTCAGTCTTTATATTCTGCCATACACAAAATACAGCTGCCAGCTATAGGATGATATAGTAAATATATCTGGCGTTTGGCTCCCTAGGGGAGTATAATACCAAAAGGAACTAGAAGAAGAATATAGTAAATAGATTCTAAGTATTTCCCATGGAGACAATATAGTTTCATGTATATGTAGTGGAAATGAAAATTGATGCAAGATCGCCTCTTTATGAAGTAATTGTTAGTGTTTTTGTATGTTATATATTTATTTGTCATCTGTTCGTTACTGTCATTACTTTTTGATTGATGTTTCATCAGCTATGTCTCACAGTGAACGTTCTTTATTGTAGAAAACGATGTAGTTAAACATATGGTATTTAATCATTGTAGAAAATGCATTATACAACGAATATTCTTCATTCCCATATTACAATTTAACTTGTATAATTTACCTAAGAGATCAAAGGTTACAGTTAGTATAATGGGCGTATAATGTTTACTTTACCTTTGTACCAACGGTAAAAATAGAATAGAATAATGTAAATAGAAACAAAAATGAAATACAACAAATTAAAATGTCGATCCACTATTTATTTTAGTAAAACAGATTATAAAGCTTTAGATATAAACTTAACATCTCATATCTCCTTTGTTTCAATCGTCTTGGCGTTACGTTATCTGCAAAGTTCTTTAGACGATTATATGGCAGTAGAAGCACCCTTAACCATTATTACCGTCATCCTATCCATACATCAGATTATTGTCAACTCAATATGTCAACTTAAGATATCGAATCATTTATAATTCGATAGTCCAGTCAAAACTATTGACGCATTCGTACTGATAAGTTATCATGCAGATGCAATTGAACCAAGGTAATTATTTTTTTATAATTATATACATACATTATTTTACCTTGTATATTGTTTATACGAAAAATGATAAACTTTCTGTAATATAAATTGACGGACGGTTACAGCCATATATGATTAAATGTGATTTTAGTATTTACAGTGAACAATGGTATAATATTGTACAGTCTATGAGTTAGAGTTAGCAACATCTAAGTATCCTAAATGTAGTAACAAGGTGTCATTGGAATTTTATAATAGTACTACCAATTGCATTTGGATCTAATACGTGATGCAGTGCTTGTTCGATATTGTGCGGTGCAAATGCGCGATCCACAACTGTTTGTAATTGATCTGCATCTACTAAGTCTCTCAAAGATTGTAGATACGCCGTATTTATTTTAGAACCTTCCTTCCAATGATGAATATTGCAGCCAAACATATACTGAAAATTGCAAGATTAAATTATTTTTGGTTACCCGTAAAGAATGTTATATCAATGTCAATGACGTTGACTTACTTGTACCATAAGTTTGATTCTGACACATCCAGAAAATATACTACCGAAGAAAAATCCCAAGGAATCAGAAGTCAGATATTCAGGCATGGTAGATACGTACGAACCATATGGTAGTAAATGTTTTTTCAGTATGAACTCATCAATAGGTTGGCCACCAGTGTAAAAAATAGCATGGTACCTATAAAAAAGAAAAATGAGTATACATATTCTTGTTCAAGAGTTTTCTGAATTTACATACTTATCATGCAATTCAAGTTCTTTTTCAATATTTGATTCATTGAACGGTATTACTTCATCAGCACCTAAGGCTCTCGTTACTGGTATTGCATGTGGCTTGCAAGCAGTTACCACATGACCACCCCAAAATTTTACCAGTTGAATTAGGATACATCCTACTGGTGTGCTTCCACCATAAACCAGTACTCTGAAACATTTAATCCGGTTATAGAGGAAAGTGAAATTTAGTAACGTAAATTAAATGCATAGCTATGGTGTAATTTATTGACCTTTTTCCTCTAGCATTTCCTTCTTGTATATTAGATTTATTAACCAAGGCGTCCCAGGCAAGACATCCACTATATGGCAAACTAGCAGAAGCTTCAAAAGTAACAAGTCTTGGTCGCTTAGCCACCTGACATTCAGGTATAACAAGATATTCGGCCATAGTACCTGATGCCCATGGTGGTACTGCCAAATAAACTTCATCACCAATATCAAAGTTTATCACACTCTGACCAATGTCTACTACAACGCCAGAACAGTCTCTACCAAGTGTAACCGGCAATTCCTTGTATCTCTGACAATAAAGAAATGACTTCAAGTAAATCTTATATTGTTACATTATTTAAATCAGTGGATTCAAATGTTTATTGCTGAACTAACTACTTACTCCAGAATTAAGGAGCCGCCTGTATGCTTTCGAATAGCCCCAACATATTTTAGCATCAACAACATTGACAGATGCTGCTCGAACTTGAATAAGTAATTCGTTTGATTTTTGTATGGTAGGCATCTCGGCATCGTCTATTGTAGAAACGCCCTAATTGAAAGTAATTGAAATATAGCATGCTGGGATCTGTGTTGGGTTCTATTTGTTGGAGACATTACGCATACCTCGATACCTATGTAGTGATGGCATATTATGGCTTTCATATGGTGCATATGATGGGACGGTCGCTGCCAATTTAGGCCAATATTATACCCAGCTACACTACCAATAATTAAACCTGTTATGCAAAAAGCTAATTCTCTTCGTGTAACTGAAAAACAGAAAGTTTATATTTAGTTATTGCTCATAGAAATCAAGCCATGAAAAGTATAAATAAGAGCAGTACCGTCGCTAAAACACAAATTGCCCAGATGTTGATAAAACTCTCTAGGATTAAATTGTAAAGAGTAGTAGTGAAATTGAAGCTGTTCCCAGCCACTTTCTAAATAAGATCCAAGGTTTTTCACAAAATCTATGACCTGATGTCCATATTGTTCATTATACAAATCTTGTGACAGTCTTTGAACTTCTGCAAACCACACTGCGCACCATTGTTGTCCCTGCTGTGCTGTTACTGATGCTTGTACCTGAAAAAAAAATTTTTCATATTTCTAAAAGCATTACGTAATTAATTAAAATTATTGGACAGATCAATAATTTCTTACGGAATAAATGTATCATATAAAAATACCTCTTCCATTTTAAATCTATAAAATAATTTGGTAGCTCATACAGAAATTGAAGTACTATCTGCTTTTCAATTTATTCAAAGGAAAGGAATTTTTAACATAATCGTGATATAGATACTCGTTCTGTTTGTATTTAAAGCGTACCATGTAAGACAGAGCAATTAAAAAGTACACGTGACTTATCTGCAGCTAACTGCTGTAAACAAAACCACCTCATACGTGTCTAATCATTTAAATCACAGTTACATGGATTATATTATCAATCAAGCAGAGCACAACAATCTAGTAATTATTATATAAACTTTCTAAAACCTACGATTTGATAAGAACAATCATTCAATGAAGAGGGGTAATTAAAGCAATACCTGGAGTGCCTCAAGTTGATTGGACAGACGGAATAAAAGTTCGTCCATGATTTCTTTTTCTTCACAATGATATCAAATGAATGTTAATACATCATTATTAATAAAAGAGACACAATTTTAACCGGAGAGTCTTACGCCAGTAACTGACCAACAGGAAAAACGGCACACCAGTGTTATAAATAACCGATTAACACATTGCATTCCCCTCGAAATAGATGCAAAGTGTGTCTTTTGGAACTATCAAGCCGGCTTAACTTCAACGTATTATTCATCGCACCAAAAATGCAAACTGCGTATGATTCGTCTGAATAAATGGTAATTAAAAAAAACTGGCTATTTCAGCATTCCTAACAATGCCAGATCAGTTCGTGTCTCTATTTGGCACATATTTGTTTGATTTTGTATATGATGTAATGAGTCACGTGTTAAACTATAAATTGCGCCGCTATCTGGCGGAACAACCATGATAATCTTCAGTATACATTTTATTTTGTATTATCGATGACTGAAGATAAGTATACCAGCCATCTTGCCAGGTTTGTTGTCACGTGAACTTGGATGTTGCAACCATACGTAGATGAAGTTACCGACTGAAAGTAATACAATAAATAACAAATGATATTTTGTACTCACAATTCTGGGGTTCATTATTATTTTATTTATTAGGCGATATCATCTTTGGGTGTATTCTTGGCATTGGTATTTTAGTCAGTAATTTGATCAATGGGTGTCCGCGGCAGCCACATTCACGTAACACCAAACCCGATAAGATGCCTTCCTTCCTTCCTTTCCTTATGGCTGACTCCTCCAATGAGGAAATGTGCCAGTGATAAGATGCCTAGGACTCTAGTCTCGGAATCACTCGACATATGGCATGCGATATTTGTTTGTAGTTCCTGGTTCTCACGTTAAATGGGTTATTGTGCATTGTGGGGGCGCTGCGATCATTCGACCACGATTGTCGCATGCGACAGTGTCGAGTGATTTCGAGAATAGTATCCTCTAGTCAATAACGGCATCGGTACAACCGCTGATAAATATCTAATTGTTCTTACGCTTTATCATCTGATTCACATGAACTAACAGTGAGTAATGTAGATATATACCAAGACAATTATTTCGTACATATAAAGATGCCATCACTTTTATTATTAAAAATATTCAAAACGTGTATTCGCATCCAGCATTCGAATGCAAGAGGTACATATAGAGTGTATCTGTAAACTTAAAAAAGGAACTACTCGAACCTTAAGATTTCTTAAATTCATAGTAATAAACATTTCTGTAGAATCATCCTATACTGCTATCTTATTTTTATTTTCAACTGTTATCTCAGTAGGGTTTAAAATTGAAGAACATCAAAAATATGAAAGGCAAGACTAAGTATATTCGTATGTAAATAAGTCAAGGAGTTCGATTATACAATGTACAAAGAACATATTGGTTGCAAACAGCAAATATGCGTTTGGTACGTTCGCACGACTTGCAGGAACATTAGGTAGTTGGTAACTATCCAAACACGTCCTTCCAGATAGTCCTTGGCCGTTTCCCAACGGTGTTTCCCTTGTTCGTAGAATATTATTGCTCTAAGCGACAAACTACTAAGAAAGTACGAAAGTAACGGCAAAAGGCCGAAGGAAGATCTCAGAAATGCGTGGAGTGTGTTACTGCAAAAAAGAAAATCATAACGTTCGTAAAAGTGCTGCGCTCGACCGAACAGCCTATTGTCAAAGGGGGAGTCCTATACGCCCCATCCTTTATTATCAAGTGCATTCAGCCTACAACGACTTTTAAGCTACAAAGAGAGAACGGAATATGAAGTATCGTGGCTGCCAGAAGCTGACGACACGGATCCCCAGCAATTCCCTTGGTGATCGTTACACTGCAGCGCCATTTACATCGACGTTCCTAAGCGGCGCCGAGTAGAAACTTTAGTGAATTTTCTGTGCGACGACTGCTTTCGATTTCACGTAATTTCACAAGCAATTAAATGATACTGAATATTAAATAGACATTACAAAAGGCTTATATTAATGACCTGGATTTATGTGGTGTTTATATGAATCATCGTTAATATGTTACACCTCACGGGGAGCTATGGAAGTAACTTAATAAGCTTTCGCTGAAATTTTTTGTATGAGAGACATTTTCTTTATTTTCATTCCAACATCAATACTGCTTACCAAGTAATTATATCTACTATCACTTATTTAACTTTATATATATATATGCACACGCAGATTTCCAATATAATAATGTATATGATAAATATTTCTTTTCAGATTATGGAAGAAAATCCAGGAATTAAAACTGATCATAGATATCGGCATGGGTATGTTGAAAAAAATTAAGTAAAAAATAATTCCAAGTCGAAGGAGGTTTCTGTTTAGCTGTGGAAATCGGTAAAGGAGGTCAACATATGCAAATAACAGGGTCGCGAGGGTTGCCAGAGTCAGGAGGGTCCCGTGGGTCAACGGACAGGAGGGTATGTCCTCCTTCCCACCCTTCTATCTCTTTTAACTATCCTTTTCTTTGACATTCTCTTTGCTCCTTGTACTTTCTCTCTCTTACTCTCTCCTGCGGTAACTCTGAAACTCTCTCAGTCTCATTCATCGGGCTCTCTCTCTCTCTCTCTGTCTCTCTCTCTCTCTCTCTCTGTCTCTCTCTCTCTCCCTCTCACTCCAACTCTGGTGTCCCTCGCACTAGCTAGCGTTACGGCCCCATATATTTCTAGAGCTAGCGGCAAAGTCACGTCTACAGATATAAAGGTGGCTCTACGCCTCTATACCGTTCGCCTACGCCCATGGAAATATTCGATTTTTACGATACGAGATGGTAGGGGTGTTGCGGCCTCGGTTGTACCAGCCTCCGTTTTACGTTACGCTCTTCTGATTTCGCGCGGTATTTTTCTCGCTCGTCGCATCGTTACTAGTGACATTGGGAATATCCTGGAACTAAAAAAAAAAAGGAAGACGAGAAAAACGAGAAGACATATATTGCAAAGGGAGACAAAAAATAGAGAGCGGAAATCGTGGAATTTTATTAAAATCGAAGTGGACCTCGAAATGTGGGGGAACGTTGCCATCGGCAGGGAGATGAAGTCGACGCCTGCGCGACTTGTGTCCACGCGACTTAAGGGTGACTAATCCGGGAGCTGTTAATTAAAAAAGTGGCGGGCTCGAAGGACCGACTCGGTAGAAAAATGGTTGGAATGGTTGTGTACGGGAGGGCTGCAGCCGGATGCCCAGATGTCCACCCTCGCCACTCGGCATCCACCCTTTGTGTCGCGTGACACGTCACAGTCTCGTTTTTGAACCGTTGCGCCATGAATGCACCGCGCGTTAATGCGCCGCTATGGACGCATGCTTAATTGCTTTAATTAAAATTCACGCTACGCGCCGGGACGCTGGTATGCCTGTTCCCGTCAGCGAGAACGTGGAAGATGGGTGAAAAAAAAAGGAAGCCCAAGGGAGAGAGTTTAAAGGGCTAAGGGAAGACTGGTCGGACAGGTGGGTAGGTGGCTATACCTACGTGTTCCAATTTGTATCCTGAAATTCTTGCAAAACGGAGACTTCAAATTTATGCGTAAAGGTAGCAGGGTACGAGTGAGCCTGGATAAAATACGATCGACCAGGAAGAGTTAACCTAGGTTAATCCCCGCTTCGCGTATTCGTACGCAAGATGACTTATGACCCTTCCAGCCCGTCGTTAGGGATTTCACCTAAGGATTTACCGTGGTGGATGTATCCACTCTCAGCTCTCTGGGAAGGAGATCGATTTTGGATAGAGAAGCGCACTCGTGAGATCCACGTATCCACTGATTCCTTTTACCCTGCAGAAAGGAAGGAAAGGAGAGGAAAGAAAAAAGGAGCCAAAGAAAAGACTATCGCTCGCCAAGACCGAGCGAGTCGGCTCCTCGTTTTCTCAAGAAGCTGGAAAAACTTTAGTCCAACCGCACGTATAACGCTTGAGTATGTGGAATGGTATATCTATACGTATTTATATATATATATATATACATACCATAGCTGTATATACATATATATATATACGGCCCAAGGAGATAGTTCCGAAAGCCGTGGGTGTGTAGTGCGTAAGTTTGAGGGTTTTGGGGGATCGCTAGAAAGCGTTAGGGGGTAGGTTAGCCGGGAGGTCGGCTTGGGGTGGCAGTATGCTGGGTGGGTTAGGGTTGGGCGGTAGCCACAAGTGTCCGCCCGAGCGCCCTCTCTCATTAATTCTCCACCCTTGTTGCTTGTTAAGGGAGGGCGACTCTCCCTGGCCACCCCTTGGCGGCCCCATTCCAAACCAACCCGCTTTTCTCCCTGAACCGCGAGGGTGGAAATGCTTTCTCGAGTGTGTGGGGATGAAAAGAGAGAGTGTGCGTGAAGAGGCTAAGCCAGAGAAAGCTGGAAAAAGTGGAAGGGTGTACGGGACTGGTTACGATAGTAATATTATAACACACCCGTTAAGTAGCTGATACAAATCGGACGTTACGGTCAATGCTAATGAGATCCAAAACGACTTCAAAGCGACCCGACTCACCGCTAAAAGTTAGCTTCATCCGAGAGGTCTTGAACTTGCTGTCCCATGCACAGATATTATAATGAGATAATCTACGAAGCGCTGTCGTATTTACTTCGGAATTTAGAATTTCGTATACGGAAGTCAAACGGAAATGTTCGACGTGCCTAGTGACGTCATCGGTGATCTCAACCTCACGACCTTTTCCGGTTACGGCCTTCTCCAGGTCTCAGTCAATTCTCCTCGTGCCTACTTCACTTTCAGCAACGGCGAATATCCGCTTGGAAATCAGACGCGAGCCATCTGCACGCAATGCGACTGTTAGGATCTTCGTTGCTTTCAGTTTCCCGCTTTCGTCAGGTTTTTCCTTATTCTTAGATACGACGCCGAGAACACGCGACATTTTTAGAAAAGCACGCGTACGTTGTACCTGAAATTCTGAGCCAATGTGGTCGCAATAAAAAAAATTCAAATTTCCAACACAGACGCAACAGTGAATTTTGAAAATGTCCACCAGTTTCCAGTTACGAAATAGCGCACACGTGAAATTCATTTTTCTGCGAAGACGGGTGCATAAGACGTGATCACACGAATACACGTGCTTCATAGAAAACCTGGTTGCCGCTGTATTTTACTTCGCCCTTCACTCTTTCTCTCTTTTTTTACATTTCTCTCCCTTTCTTTTTAGATCCAGTCCCTCTTGCCCAGACAATCTCTCTTTGCATCTGGCTCACACTACGTCTGTCTCTTTTTCTCTTAGCGTACAGGCTGTCCTCTCTAAGCAGAGCTTTCTCTTTGCTTTGCCTCCTCCTGCTCTCTCTCTCTCTCTCTCTCTCTCTCTCTCTCTCTCTCTCTTCGCCCCTTTCTTCGGTTCTATCCCTCTTCATCGCTCTTCATCGAACTCCTACATTTTATACGCGTAAAGGATCGTACTTCCTACTCTGGCACGTTTTATATCTCTCTCCGACCCTCGCAGCTTCCC